TTCTGAGTGTGTCCTCTGACAATAGAGAAAATAAAGGACAAGAAAGACGAGACAGCAACAAATAGACAAGTCTAAGACATAAATAACAATCCAAAAATGATTAACAAAATCTACATAAAAATCCTGCAGTGGCACAAACAAAAGGAATAAGTGTAAATATTATACTTTAGCTATAGAGTCGTATTATCAGGCAGTGGATTCACAACAAGAACAAGTCTGCTTCACATGCTCATGAACAGCATTTCTAAAGAAGCAAAATGAAGATATTGATTTTAAATGTGGAGGCACCTTGTTCCAGTTCCAGGCTCTTTAACATAAAAGGCTTGTTTTCCTACCTATTTTTAAACTGAGGAATTGCAAAAGAGAGCTAATCATTGATCTTAGTGTGCTACACAGAATTAAAGGGTACTAACAACATTTCCATAAAAAATGTATTTAAAAATGAGTAAAAAACAATTAAACTGATGCCTGGCTTTTAAGGAAAGCCTTGAAAGATGTTCATACATGTGACAGTGGTGTGTTCTAAAGACAACATAGAACAAAACAACATAAGCTATTGAATATGACATCAAGAGATTGAAAACATGCAACCGTGGCGTACTGGTAAACTATCTGCATAATCCTTCGACATAAATATTGGACAATGGGTTTCCATAGGCTCCAATAACACGTTTGAGGCCAAATGGGAGGTGGCCACCACCGCCATTTTGATCATGTCACAGGTTCCGTCAAGCCCAGACAATTCCACAAAAGGCAAGAGAGGAGGAGCTGAAGGTGGGACTGTAAGGCTGGGATCAACTGACGACACCCGGTCGAACTAGCTACAAGCTAACCTGAAGCTAACCCTGGCTAACCCAAAGCTAATGCAGAGGTGGGAGCTAAGCTAACAGAGGTAGCAACCTAGCTACAACCGGAGTTAACTGTGCACAACACCAGAGCTTCTGAGTCAGAGATACGCCGGGCTGACCGCTGGGTAAAACCGGGTGGAACACAGAGTTCTCCGAGAGCTCCACAAGCCGGCAGCCGCACAGCAGACAAGCACCGCTGCGATCTGAGATGCGCAGGGCTGCCGCTGGGGAGAACCGGGTGGAAAGGTTTCCATCCCAGATCTCCACAAGCCATCAGCCCGCGCAGCAGACAGGAGCTGCGATCAGACAGAGATGCACCGAGCTGCGGGGAGAACCGGGTGGAAAACATCGGTCTCCCGAGAGCTCCACAAGCCGATAGTCGGAACCCAGAACCACCAACATGTTATATTTCAACCAATTTTCTAAAGTGCAGCATTATGTTAAATGCACTGGGTTTTACCCCACTACATTTAAATTTCATGGTTAAACAGTCATGCTAAAATCTAAGCTCAGCTCGGCAGTGACCTAAAATACATAAATGTAATTTTACTTACCGAAAAAAATGAAGTGGAGACTCCTTGGACGCTCTATTAGTGCAATTAATGCCACAGCAAGTCATTTTGTCCAACAATTGCACAAATTATATCCAAAAAAGAATACACACACACAGAGACTCAAAATCCCGGAGAAGTTTCCAAGCCAGACCGAGGCTCTACTGAGGCCTTTCCATGGAGCTAGCGTGGTCATGTGGGTCTGATGCTCATTAATTATACAGAATTTTAGGCTTTTAATGTACTTAAACAGAAGAGTGAGAAAAAATCCACCCCCCTCAGAGTTGTCATGAGTGTAAACTAGATCATTTAAACCAAAAACATGTTTTGGAACCAGGCTGTAAACATGTTTATTTCTGCTGTGAAATTAGTATTTTTAACATGGGAGTCAATGAGGATTTGCTCGCTTCTGACACCAGCCCCTAGCGGATGAGGGTGGAACTGCAATTTTTGGTACTTCCGGGTTTGCTTCAATTTTTGAGCCGCATTGTGGGGGCTTGGCATAATCCAAGATCGGAAACAAAAGTTGACTTGCAATACGCTACCTTATAGTTAGGTGAAAACAATTGATTTTGAGTTTTGTAATATTGTGTAACATTATGTGACATTTTTTGAATATGAATTTTAAATAACAAATCTGGTTCCAACCAAACTTAGTATTAGTAAACAAAGTATTTATTTTATCAGATGAGAGCAATTGTGAAGAGTCTAAAAAAGGAAGGTCAGATTTACAGCAGAAGTTTTCTCCGGAAAAGCATAGAATTTGATTTTGATTTATTAAGAACTTTATTTTGAGTTAGCCAATGCCAATGCTGTTAAAATGAAGCTGAAGGGTCTCCTGAATTTCCAGTTTGTTAGGTTTAGAACAATATAAAATTGTATCATCGGCATAGAGACGAACTGAGCAAGAAGTGCAACAGAGCAGCAAATCATTTATAAAAAGTGAAAATAATAAGGGTCCCAGTGACGAACCTTGAGGGATTCCCCTAACAACCCCCACAAATTGGACTCGCATCGATTGAAGGAAACCTATTGTGAACGATGATGAAGAAATTAATTACGCCAAGTTAAAGATGACCTTGAAAGGCCAAAGGAATATGTTTTGTCTAAGAGCAAATAATGATCAAATATATAAAAAAGAAATATCAGTTGATAAGGTTTCACAGCATTTATTAGGCAGATGTTATTGAGAGATGTAAATGTATATGTAAATCAAAATAAATACAATTTTAGAACAGTTAGACAAAATTTACTGATAAAATATGTATATTATAGTAATTTAATCATCAACCGGGGCTGAAAACACAATAGGAACCTGTTAAAACACACCAGTAACACCTCAGGTACACTTAAAAATATAAATGAAACCCTTTAGTGTTCTTGACTTATCAGCAGCTTCTGTAAGCCTGAAGATGGAGAACTCTCACGTTGTGTTGTTTTTCAGCTCCAAGCTCACCAGCCCCTTGCAGATATCAGCCTGCTTTTCTCGTGATGGCTCCATGAAATGCTGCCTTACTGGAGAAACAGTTGTTATTATTTTTGTAGAACATCCATCTTCAGTTCAGTCTGTAGCAGAAAGAGCAGGGGACTCCAGTGACACAAGAACTCAGCATATTAGTCTATAATAAATATTAGAGAAACAGTTAAACAATAACACTCACCTATTAATAAAAGTGCACATAAACTATTCTCTAGTGTTACTGTTGATGTTAGACCTTGACTGACCTTCTCAGTGGCCTAGTGGTAGAGTGTCCGCCCTGGGACTGGGAGATTGGGGTTCAAATCCCACTTAGGTCATACCAAAAACTTTAAAAATGGGACCCAATGCCTCCCTGCTTGACACTCAGCTGTAAGGGGTTGCATTGGGGGGTTAAACCATCAAATAGTTCCTGAGCGCAGCCACCGCTGCAGCTCACTGCTCCCCACAGGTACGGGTCAAATGCAGAGATGAATATCACCAGTTTGTGATGACTAATGGGACTTTTGACAAGTTTAATGACAAGTTTAATGTGAAAACAAACTATACATGGCTGATGATGAAAAACGCAAACATCTTCAAGAAATTTGAATATCCATGAAATATTTATAGCTGTACGACGTTAGAACGTTGATACGAGGCATGAACATATTTTTTAAGCTAAGTCGTTTTCCAAATTTGCGATTGCAGCTTTAAAAAGAATGAATCTTTAAAGCTGTGTTTACTTTCTGTAGGGTTTTGTTGCCCGTTGATTCTATATAAACAAACCTTTATAATAAAAACCCAGTCCACCTGTCCTTTTAAACCTTTAGCTCTCCTTTTAGACCTCGCGGCATCGTTGGACTCGGCCCCCGGCCACAAAAACAATCTAAACAGCTCGTTCACAAGGTGGTTATCAATAATTGACTCTGGGCGTGTGAATGGGAAAAGTACAAGCTCTTAGTCTGACACAGCAGAACACTTAGTGGTAAACACTACACTAATCATTCGGTGTAATTAGTACACTCTGAGAAGTTCTGGATGTTTTCATTCAGTCAATGACTGATAGTCTAGAGTAAAGGGGAGGCCGTGTGCAGAGGTAATGATGCAGTGAGGTGATTTATGGGGTTTGGTTTCAAGAAATATGTTGTTGAAGGTTTATTTATTATAGATCTGTTGGGAGGATTTTACAGTATTCTGCAAAAATCTTTATTTTTTACAAACATATTTTTGTATATTTCTAAGTAACACTATCAAAGTGAGACCACAGTTCAACAGGTATAAACAAGGTTAGTCCCAAAGAGCTGTTAGGTGAAAACTTGTCATTCAGTAGGAGAGAGCCGCCTGGAGCGCCTGCATTTACACAACAGCTGTTTGCAGAGGGTGTGAGCAGAAAATTCCAGACTTTTTACGTTGTGAAAGCTCAGGATTCAGCTGAGAGTTGCAGGCAAGTCACAGTCTAAAAAGTGCTTCCTGAATTATGTTGGCTGTCCTTGTGAGTCTGTGCTCCAGAGCTGTGAAGTGAGTCGTCTGCTCTTAGCCCGCTGCTGTCTGTTACTGGCCTCGTGTTGTGGCGTGTCAGAGGTTTGAAGCAGAAATTCTTTCCTCTGGATGACTCACGTCCTGAGTGTGGTGCAGTCTGTAAGCAAAGGTTTGAGACACACACACACACACACACACACATACACACACACACACACACACACACACACCCTAACCACCAGAGTGCTTTCAGGGGCTGTAGCTAGCAGCATAGGTTACAAATTCACAAGTTTACAGTGATGTTCATGCATGCTTGCACACAGGAAGCCTGCAGGCATTCCCACCACAGGGGAGTGCCTTTTTTATGGTCAGACCACATTCATTCAGCTCAGATCTTCAGCCATGTCAGCAGACATGGAGGGACTTTAAAACACGTGGAGACACATCGTACAGGTAGGCTGGGTCCTGTTAGGTGTGACGTTTCTGGTTCACTGTTATAAGCTTATTAGGGATGTTCCGATCACATTTTTTTGCTCCCGATCCGATTCCGAGTCATTTGATTTTGAGTATCTGCCGATACCGAGTCCCGATCCGATACTTCAGCAATACAATAAAATAGCAAGAAAAAAGGAGACTGCACCCAAATTGACCTGTTAGGTTTTTTTATTATTATTTATATGACGGCATCCAACATGATACCATAAGAAAGTAGAAACATTTTGTTAGTGCAGCAGCACTTCAAACCAAGTAAACAAAATTATATCTTTGTAGCTTATCAGTGGTGCAACAATATGTAAAGAAATTTGTTTTTATAGAAAAGTAGAAAAGGTTTGTAAAATAACTCAACACAATAATAGAAGTTAAATTAAAGTGCTTACCTCCACCTCTAAGAGGTAGTTGCATAATTCAGTCAGGTAACAAAATAAAATACATCTTAGGCCTTTAGACTGACTAGTTTATTAAAACGAACAAAATATATGCCTAATCAAAGTGGTGCACGAACTTAACACCATTCAAGAATAAAACATCAACATCAAATTGCAAAGAACTGGTAAATCACCTCTTCCATGTGCTCTACATGGAGCTCAACTTTTACTCTAAGGCTCCCAAATAAAGTGCATGTTTTTTTTGAGGAAAATCAGCATCTCTAACTTGTCGGGGGAGAGCCGATTCCTATTCTCGTCAAGAATGTTTGACACTGCACTAAAGAGTCTCTCACTGTCCACTGAGGTGCAGGGGGCACAGAGAAATTTGGTTGCAACAGCAGCCAGTGAAGGGAACTGTGTAGCATGTGTTTTCCAGTAGTCTAGAGGATTGCTTTTCCTAGAGATGGTTTGTTCCGAAAGGTAGATCCGTACCGTACCGTACCGTATCTAAGATGCTGCCAAGGCTGCTTCCTGCTCCTTGACGAGGTGCCTTGCTCACAGGCTCTGCTGCCTCTGGTTCTTTACTGGCAACCCTGTTCTCCTCCATCTTCATCACCTCCTGGATGAGGGAATCTTTAGCAAACCTCAGGTGGTCTGACTTTGTGAAATATCTACAAGATAAATGTAACAATTTTTAAAAAAATGTTAGGCAAGACACTGCATAACACAACAGTTCAGCTGAGGAAATGTTATATTTACATAATAGTAAACAATTCTCTAATCATTAACAGAGCTAAATCTAAATTTTAAAAACATAATTAGTCATTGGCTGACTTACAATTTTGAAAATTTATTTTCTTAGAATCAAATTAAAAATGTACATTATTTCTACTTGCCTGTCTTTGTATCTTGGATCCACTAAAGTGGCGATGCTGTAGAGTGGTTCCTTTTCTACCTCAGCAAAGCGAGTCTCCACGGCCTCTAGGAGAGTTCTTTTCATGGTTCGAACACCCTGGTCAGTCGTTTGCTCTCGAGACAGGACACGTCTGAGAGCTGTTTAGAGAATGAATAGATGGATAACAGTTTATTACTTATTTAGAATAAAAAACATTGTGTGTTCTTTAATTAAAATGTAGAAAATAAAACAAAACCAACCTGAAATGGCAGGGATCACATCTGCTGCAGTTGCAGTCTCCTTGCTCACTTCCCTAGTCAGTTCTTCCAAGGGAACTAACACTTCAGCTGTATTCTCCATCAGGGTCCACTGACTAGATGTTAGTGTAGCAGGGAGGTTGTGGTCAGCTGTATAGATGCTGAGCGCTCGCTTTTGCTCCAGAATGCTCTGTAGCATATAGAGGCTGCTGTTCCATCTAACATGCACATCCTGCTGCAGGCGCTTCACGGTCATCTTCAGAGAAATCTGGATATCTTCCAGGCGTGAATAGGCCAAAGGAGAATGTTTGAAATGGCCTATTATCTTCCTGGCATTAGCCATTGTGTCTGTGACGCTGCGCTGAGAGAGCAGACCCTCGTGCACAACAAGTTGAAGCGTGTGTGCAACACAGCCCAAGCTCGGTACTGCCAAGTCCTCCATGGCTCTCTTCATATTTCGCGCATTGTCACGCACAATTACATGGACACGTTCCTTTTCAATTCCCCAACTGTTCAGCATCTCTTCAATAGCCTGTTTCGCATGCTCTGCTGTGTGAGATCCGCGAAAATGTTGCGCATTTAACGTAGCACGTTGTAAATTGAAACTCGAGTCGATCCATTGTGCAGTGAAGCTGATCAGTGACATTGGACAAACAGACGAACTCCATATGTCCGTGGTAAACCCAAAAGCAGACACCTTTGATAACATGACTAACAGGTGGTCACGTAGCTTGTTGTGAATGCTGGGCAGAGCTGTGTCTGTAAAGTAGCTTCGAGAAGGTAACTCGTACCGTGGCTCCAGGTGCTCCATGAGACGGCGAAATCCTACGTTTGAAACCACAGACAGCGGCTGGTCATCTAGTGCAATAAATTCAGCTATCTTGGCTGTGATGTTCTTGGCCTTGTCGCTATCCTTAGGAAGTTTTTCTTTGTTTTTCAGCATAGCTTCCAGTGTCGGCTGGCTCCATGTTTTGATCTGCGTTGCCGCGGTGAACTCGGAATATTGAGCTGGATGTTTGTTCTTAAGATGCCGGATCAGGTTCATGGTGTTAAAAGCAGCTCTGTCTTTTCCACCACGTGAAACACTCAGTTTGCAAATGTTGCAAGTGGCTGTTGGACAACCTTCGGTCTCCAGTTTAAAATGATTCCAAACAGCTGACATTTTTTGCTCTCCTGGAGCGAGACGAGCATTAACCTGCTAGCTAACTGCTACCTGAATTCCACTGTCCACTTTAAAACGTGTGGCATTACGGCTGCCGTATGGTGTCATGTCGTTATTGAGGAAGTGAAACTTGGTACAAAATTAAGCCATTGTTATTCAATTTGAAACTCAAGATTAATTAAAAATGTCATGCTTGTTGTTTTATAAGGTTAAATCCGATCTTTAACACCCGATTCCGATCTTTTAAAAGTCACGTGATCGGGCCCGATTTCCGATCACGTGATCGGATCGGAGCATCCCTAAAGCTTATAGTTAATGTTCTAGAGGAAGGATAAAAACCAGTGGATGTTTAGAGCTTTTTCATGGGAGTTGTAGAGTTTACCAAAATAACACCACTTCATTAATCAGCCTGTTTATGATGGGTCCTACAGGCAGAAGGATGCCCTTGTTCCTCAATGTGTGTGTGTGTGATAGGTCGGGTGGGGTGGGGGTGGGGGTGGGGGGGGTGGCGGCTGGATAAGTGCCAAAAGTCCCCCCCCACCCCACCCCGCAGACCATAACAAGAGAAATCTGGCCTGATGAGCCAAGATTTTTCTATTTGGTCACAAATCCAAACTGTGGGTCTGGAAGAAAACCTAACCAAGCATTCCCTGCATAAGCAGCGTTAGCGATGAGCGACACATGCTCTACAGATGTGGAGACGTGTCAGAGCAGAAGATGGATTTTGAAGCAAAATGCAGGTGAAGGTTAAAGCTTGATAATGCATCTGGACATCAACCAGCAGGAAATCATCAAAAATAACCAGGAGAGGGTTTGATAAAGTCCTGAAACATCCAACATAAGCGTGGCTCTTAGGATGAAGAGAGGCAGTTTTTATACGAGTACTGAGTTAAAACCAGAATGACTTTAATGAAGATCCAACACTAATAACTAAGTTACTAACTCATCAGTCCTGTAGGGCTCCAAACGCGTCATCATTTATATATTTTACATAGAAATACACTTTAAATGGGCCAAAATAATCCTTTATAGTAGAACTCAAAGATATTAACCCTTTCATGCATGAATTAGGAAATCTTCAACTGTTATTTTTTAAAAATTAGTTTCATTCAAAAAAACCTAACAACTGAGTAGCTGTCCACTGTAGTGGCCATTATGCATGAAAGGGTTAAATATGAGTTGTTATTAATTTAACTTCCCCTGGTGGAGCTAAATGCCATCATCAATGCCATTTTAAAGATGTGGTTCACTTGTTTGTTTAAGCAATGCCTTTGTAGTGGTCTAGTGGGAATGAATGCCTTGTAAGTCATAGGGGGGGGGGGGGGGGGGGGCACGACTACCACTGACTCTGTTTGCTCTGCATTGTTGATGCTTTATCTCCACAAATAACAAAAGCCTGGAGGAGTTCTGCTGTGTGGTAGAGTTGCTAATGCTAACAGTTAGCTTCTACAAGTCAAAACGTTCTCTGCTGTTTCCTGGACGTTAAACCAACAACAGCGTTCCCCATAGTGAGTCGAGATGGTTGAGTCCATGAATGTTAAGCGACAGTGTGGTGTAGCTCCGGACATGTAGTCAGGAGACCGGAGAATGTTAACCATCACTGCAGCCGTCAAAGCTTTGTGGCAGAGCCTCTCCTCAGTGTAAGACACATTAAAGCCCACATGGAGTTTGCTAAAAGACACCTGACGAACCCTGAGATGGTGAGAACTAAGATTCTCTGGTCTGATGAGACCATGATAGAACTTTTTGGCCATAATTCCAAGTGGTATGTGTGGAGATAACCAGGCAGTGCTCATCACTTGTCCAATACAGTCCCCACAGTGAAGCATGGCGGTGGCAGCATTATGCTGAGGAGGGGTTTTTCAGCTGCAGGGACAGGACGACTGGTTGCGATCGAGGGGATGATGAATGTGACCAAGTACAGGGATACTCTGGACAAGAACCTTCTCCAGAGTGCTCAGGACCTCAGACTAAATACTAAATACTGAACAACGGGACTGATTGCTTTGTCTTTTTTTAATAACTCAACATAAATTTCTAAAATTCTGTGTTTTTCTGTCATTATGGGGATCTGTGTGTTCATTGATGCGGGAAAAAGAATTTAATTGATTTTAGCAAATTACTGCAATATAACAAAGAGTGAGAAATTGACAGCGCCTGAATACATTCTGTACCGACTCTACAAGTTGTTCCTCATGAGAAGTGCTCGACTAGAGGAGGCAGGACCTTCTCGGTTTTGGCCCCTAAGCTGTGGAATGGCCTTCCACTCGTGGGCAGACATGAGCCGTCACTGCCAGTTTTTAAGAGTCGGATGAAGACTCACTGTTATACTGTGGTGTTCCCTCAACTCGTAAGTTAGTCGTTATTTTAAACATTGTAGGTCATTTTTATCACTTTTACCGGTGTCTTTAGCTTGCTTTAGTTTTTATGTATATTTTGTTGGCCTTTGCATGGGTCATCGATGTTTTAAATTATTTTATGTGTGTACAGCACTTTAGTTCGCCTTCTGTTTGATTGAACGCACTTCATAAATAAAACTGATGATGATGATGATGATGATGAATGTTAAGTGACAGTGTGACCTAGATCTGTCAGGCTTTTCTATTTCTACAGTTTCACCGTATATTTTCTATCAGAAGCTAATGAAGGAGATATGTGTAGGAGACTATTTTCATGTTCAGCCTGCATGAAACACTCAGAGTGACTGATAGTAAATAATCAGAAACAATCACTAAATATGTTGTTCAGTGATCCACACCTTTAATGAATGCCAAAAGGGTAAATAAATGCATTGTTTTGGTATATATCCTGTAGTTTTTATTTTTATTTTACATTTTTATCCCATTTAGAGAATACACAGTTTTGCCTGATTTCTGCTGCTCACATGCTTTCATTATCCTTCAGGAGTGATGATCAAAGACGGAGACCCTTTGGTCATCACTTTGTTATTGGACGTGGACACAAGCACTGACTTGTTTCACATGTACTTCATTGTCACTTATCAGCACAGTTAGTCAGCACATCTGAGTGCACATTTATTCTGGGTGTGTGTGTGTGTGTGAATAAGACTTGATGGTCTGGATATTTGTGTCAAGCTTCCTGAAAAATTAGCAGCTTTGGGGCTGTAGCTGTCAGTCGGGGACACGTAGAGTTGTAGCAGGACTTTGTAAAGCTGCTGGTGTGTTTTGGAGCACTAACCTTTGTGATACTTGGCTGTGACCTTTCTCTGCAGTGCTGACTGCTGGCTTGGCCTTCATAGGTCAGAGTGATGCTCCTGGAGGCTTTGCTCTGATCTCCGTTTCCACAGAAACAAAACAACGCTCAGCGCAGAACAGCCTCGTCGCAGTAAGATGACGACGTCTTCGCCCACTCACAGTGACAGCAGCAGCTCCTCCAGACATGGCGTTAAGCAGGTGAGTTTGTGCAGTTTGATTTCTCGAGTAGCTGCTGGAGTTAGTTTGACTCGTAACAAACGCGGGAGGGTAAGTCAGCCTCCTTACTGATGATACACCCTTGAATCGGATCACCATCTAAACTTGAGTTTGTCTCTGATGATCTCTGCTCTGCAATGATTTGTGTCCTGTGTCTCCCCTTAGGACAGGTGGGAGATCGTGGAGGGGCTTCGGGGGGTTCCTGCCAGTATGCAGGAGCCTGACATTCAGGAGGGCTTGCTGCTGAAGAAGAGGAAGTGGCCCATGAAAGGGTGGCACAAGGTTAGAGTTGCAAGATTTGGGACTAGGTTATGTCCCTCAACAACCTGAGACTAGCACAGTCCCTCAGAGACCTGGGACTAGGACATGACCCTCTGAGACCTGTGACTAGGACATGTCCCTCTGAGACCAGGGACTAGGGCATCTCCCTCTGAGACGTGGGACTAGGGCATGTCCCTTTGAGATCTGTGACTAGGACATGTTCCTCTGATATCTTAGACTTGGATAGGTCCCTCAAAGACCTGGGACCAGGACATGACCCTATGAAACCTGGGACTAGGGCATCTCCCTCTGAGACCTGGGACTAGGGCATATTCCCCTGCGATCTGAGACTAGGGCATGTCCCTTTGAGACCTGTGACTAGGACATGTCCCTCTGATATCTGAGACTAGGACATCTCCCTTTGAGACCTGGGACTAGGACATCTCCCTTTGAGACCTGGGACTAGGACATCTCCCTTTGAGACCTGGGACTAGGACATATCCCTCTGAGACCTGGGAGTTGGACATGTCCCTCAGAGACCTGAGGCTAGGACAGGTCCCTCAGAAACCTGGGACTAGGGCATGTCTCTCTGAGACCTGCAACTAGAACATGTCCCTCTGAGACCTGGTACTAGGGCATGTCCTTCTAAGATCTGAGACTAAGATATGTCCCTCTGAGACCTGGGACTAGGACATGAACCTATGAGACCTGGGAGTAGGACATGTCTCTCTGAGACTTGAGACTAGGGCAGGTCCCTCAGAGACCTGAGATTAGGACATCTCGCTTTGAGAGCTGGGACTAGGACATGTCCCTCTGAGACCTGGGAGTTGGACATGTCCCTCTGAGACTAGGGCAGGTCCCTCAGAGGCCTGGGACTAGAACATGTCCCTCTGAGACATGGGACTAGGACATGTCTCATGGGACTAGGACATGTCTCTTTTAGACTTGAGACTAGGACAGGTCCCTCTGAGACCTGGGACCAGGACATGTCGCTCTGAGACCTGGGACTAGAACATGTCTCCCCTAGACATGGGACTAGGACATGTCTCTTTGTGACTTGGACAGGTCCCTCTGAGACCTGGGACTAGGACATGTCACTCTGAGACCTGGGACTAGGACATGTCGCTCTGAGACCTGGGACTAGGACATGTCACTCTGAGACCTGGGACTAGGACATGTCGCTCTGAGACCTGGGACTAGAACATGTCGCTCTGAGACATGGGACTAGAACATGTCCCTCTGAGACATGGGACTAGAACATGTCCCTCTGAGACATGGGACTAGAACATGTCCCTCTGAGACATGGGACTAGGACATGTCTCTTTGAGACTTGAGACTAGGACATCTCCCTTTGAGACCTGGGACTAGGACATATCCCTCTGAGACCTGGGAGTTGGACATATCCCTCAGAGACCTGAGGCTAGGACAGGTCCCTCAGAAACCTGGGACTAGGACATGTCTCTCTGAGACCTGCAACTAGAACATGTCCCTCTGAGACCTGGTACTAGGGCATGTCCTTCTAAGATCTGAGACTAAGATATGTCCCTCTGAGACCTGGGACTAGGACATGAACCTATGAGACCTGGGAGTAGGACATGTCTCTCTGAGACTTGAGACTAGGGCAGGTCCCTCAGAGACCTGAGATTAGGACATCTCCCTTTGAGAGCTGGGACTAGGACATGTCCCTCTGAGACCTGGGAGTTGGACATGTCCCTCTGAGACTAGGGCAGGTCCCTCAGAGGCCTGGGACTAGAACATGTCCCTCTGAGACCTGGTATTAGGGCATGTCCTTTTGAGAATAAGAAGTGTCCCTCTGATATCTGAGACTAGGGCAGGTCCCTCAGAGACCTGGGACTAGAACATGTCCCTCTGAGACATGGGACTAGGACATGTCTCATGGGACTAGGACATGTCTCTTTGAGACTTGAGACTAGGACAGGTCCCTCTGAGACCTGGGACCAGGACATGTCGCTCTGAGACCTGGGACTAGAACATGTCTCCCCTAGACATGGGACTAGGACATGTCTCTTTGTGACTTGGACAGGTCCCTCTGAGACCTGGGACTAGGACATGTCACTCTGAGACCTGGGACTAGGACATGTCGCTCTGAGACCTGGGACTAGGACATGTCACTCTGAGACCTGGGACTAGGACATGTCGCTCTGAGACCTGGGACTAGAACATGTCCCTCTGAGACATGGGACTAGAACATGTCCCTCTGAGACATGGGACTAGGACATGTCTCTTTGAGACTTGAGACTAGGACAGATCCCTCTGAGACCTGGGACTAGGACATGTTGCTCTAAGACCTGGGACTAGGACTTGTCACTCAGAAACCTGAGGCTTTGACTTGTTCTTCAGAGACTAGGACTTGTCCCTCTGGTGTGATGGGTAAAACACGTTGTGATGATGTCATCCAGCTGCAAACCTTTATTTAAACCTAAATCTGTAACAAAGCCTTGAACACTTTCTGCCATTTTCCTCTCGACTGGAACGTTTCTCTCTCTGTGGGTTTGGTCCCGTTCCTCTGACTCATCCTCGTCCTGCTGCAGCCTGCTCATGATTTCCTGGAAACCTTTGCATTACAACACAGTGACGGTTACTTTTAATAATTCACATTTAACTGATAAAAAGGTCTAAGTTCTGTCGGAGTGTCACATCAGCACGCGTGACTGATCAGAAACTCCCACACTGGTCATGTGCAGGTTTTTTCGCTGCTGACCAGTTTACGGCTGTACTGTAAAAGGGTTACACAAGGGCTAAAAACGGTGTGAAGTCTTCTGGATAAGTCATTTCTGCAGCAGAGAAACTTTATGACACTTTATTGCATCTGTTGCAGTAACTTTGGTTTCTTCTGTTTCAGAGGTACTTTGTGTTGGAGAGAGGGATCTTGAATTATGCAAAGCGAGCAGCTGATGTAGGTGAACCCTAAATAGCGCCATCTGTCTGTCGTTTTCCCACAAAACCCAGTTCTCACTCAAGCCTGTTTGTGATCAGCTACAAAAGGGAAAGCCCCACGGCTGCATAGATGTTGGGCTCTCTGTGATGTCGATCAAGAAGAAAGCCATGTGCATCGATTTGGACACGGAGGACAACATTTATCACCTAAAGGTGGACCTCCTCCACGTTTCATGCTGAGCTGTTTGTGTGCGCCTTCTGCTCCTGACTTGACCGTTTGTGACCCAGGTGAAGTCTGCCGAGTTGTTTGAGGAGTGGGTGTTGAAGCTGCGTCACCATCGGATGTTTCGGCAGAATGAGATTGCCTTGTACCCCCATGAGAAGCACCTCTTCCACCCCCACGCCTCGTCCTCCCCATCTCTGAACGACTCCTTTAGAAATGTAGGAAGAGTTTGAGCAGAAAGGAAGAGGCTCCCGTGGATTTTGGTTTGTTGTCTTTGTGAGATCAAGCCCGTGATCCTGTTTTTATCTTGACTGTTACAGAGAGCCACGCTCACTAAGCAGACATCTATCCACCACGCCAAGGTCGGCTCCTGGCTGCAGTCTTCAGAGGAGATGAACAAATGCAGCAAAGGTCTTTAGCTCATCTCTTTTGTGTGCAGTCTTCTTTCAAAACACTTTCTCCACTGTCTGTGTTTGTGTTGTCTCACTTCAGCTTGTAACACACACACACACACACACACACGTTTTGTCCTTGTTATTCACTCAGAGCTGGAGGAGTGTGAGTCTTATCTGCTGGAACTCAACCTGCTGCTGAAGAGCATGGAGGTCATGCACCGCACGCACTCGGCTCCGGCCATCACTGCCCTGCAAGTAAGCAGAGACACACAGATTGAGTTTAATCCAGAGCAGATAAATGCTCTTGAAGCCTTCATTAATCTGTTAAATCTTCACCAAGTGCAAATTAACGACTCTTATTTTTAAAAGGAAAACCTGGTCCCATCTGATGCAGATCCTCCTTCAGGACAACACATTCTCACACCCGAAGCATCGAAAACTGACGATGGACGACCAAGCGTTTGTTTCCAACGCTGTGCCAGAGCGTCGTTTTCCAACTGCCGCGGGAGGATGGAGGTTTCGCTGAATTGTGACCTTTACCCTCTTCCCCTCACCCCATCCTAACCTTAACTCTTGCGTATTTGTTCCTAGTTGCAACGTCCCTCTCCAACACGGTCAACGGGAAGTTTAGAACGAGCGACAGGGTAAGGGTTAGGATGGGTGTGAGGGGAGGGTTAAATAGCAACAAGTTAGAGGTTAAAAGTCGGTGAAATGTGTGTTTTACCGCCGGCGTCGGAAAACGACGCTTGGTCACCCATCGTCAGTTCTTGATGTGTCGGATGTGAGAATGTGTTGTTCAGGACTGAGGAGGCTGAATCTACTAGACCCCCTCGTGCTTCCGTCAGCTCCTGTAGTTTTTACGTTCCTGTTCCTCTGAGTGGTTTTACTGACCACCTACAAACATGTCTGACTGCTTTTTATACTCCTACATGTCACTCATTGTGCGCTCCGCTGAGAAGGTGATTGGCTGCAGCCTTCCATCTCTCCAGGACCTGTACGTCTCCAGAACTCGGGGGCGTGCAGGTCGGATAGCAGCTGACCCTTCTCACCCGGGACACAGACTTTTCGAGCCGCTTCCCTCAGGCAGGAGGTTACGGTCCATCCAGACCAGAACCTCCCGCCATAAGAACAGCTTCTTTCCATCTGCCGTTAGACTTGTGAACAGCTTATAAACACACAACCATGTTCGTCTTCTGTACTCGACATAACGTCACGTTATCGGCCATGTTACCATTACCTGCCTTTTTTATAGCTGAATGTTTAATGCTAGTTTTATTATATTTTATTCTACTTATTCTATTTTTGAAATTTATTATTCATGTTATATGTAGCACATTAGTACCGAAGCAAGTTCCTAGTTTGTGAACTGCTTGTTCACTGACAATGGCAATAAACCTTTTCTGATTCTGATTCTGATTCTGATTTTATAATGCTCTCAACTGAGATGACGCTCTTAATGGAAAGATAAAGTACTTTTGACCTAAATACTCCTCAAACCTTGATTACACTTGCATAAAGTGACTGAATGTGTTAAGGAGTATTGTGTTTTACTAACAATACACACGTGACCTGCAGTAAAAAGGTCTGTTGCATTAGGGATGCCCGGACACCAGCATCAGGTTTCGGGTTAGGGTGAGTGCGTGTACTCAGGACCTGATATCAGTGTGATGGGAGCTTTGTTCGCCTTTAACAGACAGGAAGAGTGTGCCAACAAACGCTGTGATCTAGTAAAATCAGTTCAAGCCTCATAGAGGGAACAGAAGCTGCTGACGTACGGTAGCCAGCTGACCAGACCTTAAGCCGACAGGAATCTACGTTACTTATAGGTTTCATGGGATGGAGTTCCATCCCATAACGACTCTCGATGTCTTATTAAAGCCAAATTCAGCAGCGGATTGCGCCTCAGTCACAGAAAACCTTTGACTGGTTTAGGAACGTTCTTCTGATTCAGCTTGAGGAGGAATCTTGACCTGGAGCTGATTCTGGTTCTGAAAGCTTCAGCCCGGCTGTGTCCTCGCTGTGAAGATGATTAGTTTCTGCAGGTGTGCAGTCTTGGTCGGTGTCAGCGCTTCGTGTTTTTAAAGTGTCACAGTAGAGTGAAGCAAACGCGGCGTACGTTTGTGTTCTCACATGCTGGAACATCTCCAGAACGTTCCTGGACGTAGGGGAAGAATGACTCCAGTGTGACATATCTGTCTCTTCTGGCACCACAGACGTCAAACTTTGACATTCCCAAAAAAGAGAAGAGGTCAAAGCGATGGCGATCCAAGCACAATGGCAAAGAACCCAAATCCACACTCCAGGTTCAAACCCAGCTTCTATTAAAACATACACCTGTAAGACCGTCAGGAGCTCACGTTCTGGTGTGATTGATTACCAGGTCCCCAGCTGCATCTCCAACCAGTCCCCTCGCCTCCACGCGTCCAACCCCAACCTGTCCACTGCAGAGTCAGCCACCCAGGACGCGTGTCCTCAGTCTCCAGACTCGCCCACAGAAGTGTCTCAGCTGCAGCAGGACTTCTGCCGACTGTCCAACAACAGTGAGCTCATGTCTGCAACACTAGTCGTGTGTGAGTTTGCCGTAAAGAGAGGAACAGATAGTTTCCATGACAACCCTGTTTCTTTGCTTCTCTGCAGTTCACATCTCAATGAAGTCAGCATATAGCTGCCTGATAGTAGAGAAGGAGCGGCTGAAGCAGGCCATAGAGCTGCACGGCCCCCAGCTGCCTCAGGTCATTGGTCTGAAGAGCGGCTACGCCTCAGTGAGTAGAAACTCTGCATCACTACTTCCAGCTTCATGGATCGTTCTCTCGACTGATTAAAACCTGAACCTGTCATCAGGAATGCTCCACCCCCAGCCAGTCCTTGGTCCACCAGGCCTCCAGTGAGAGCAGAGCCTCCATTCCAGAGTCCATGTCGGAGTTCTTTGATGCCCAGGAGTACTTGCTGTCCTCGTCTTCTTCTGAGAATGAGGTAAAAAAAAAAATCTTCCTAGTTTTATTTTTTTTAACCAAAACTAAGCAGGTGAATAAGGTAATAAAAATCTATAAATTCCAGAATAAATGCATAAATCCTGCTTCTCTTATGTTAGTTTTAAGCTAGAGGTGCCCAATCCTGGTCCTGGAGGGCCGCTGTCAGCACGTTTTACCCCTTCTTTCCACCGGAGCCGTCAGCAGCACGTTACTGCAGCAGCACGTCATAGCTGCTGATAGGAACCGCTGTGGTCAACAGAACCTTTTCCACCGGAGCCGTCAGCAGCCGTCAGCAGCGCGAGTCGGCCGCGTCTCAGGAGCAGCATGTCGCGGCCTTTACGCGCCGGTTCTATTTTCTACGCGTGACGCCTCTGAAACGGGTCAAGTTCGACATTTTTGGGGAAGGAAAGACAGGAAATCAGACGCGGAAATGGAGAGAAGCTCCCGAGATTTTCAGAATAAAGAACGTACTGCTTTCGGTTGCTTTACTTTTAAAAAAAGTTACTAACTGTGCGGCCCCGTGAGAAGTTATCACCTAGCTAGCGGTCTCCTTTGTTTTTCAGGTCCGTATTGGCGATTATAAATTGGACAGAACATAAAACACAAACCTTTTGGAGCCATGTTGTAGTTTTCTCTTGCTTGTTGTTGTGTTTACTGACGAAGTCACTCGTGTGACTTCGTGCTCTGTCGGTGACAGCTGCTCCCCTGCTGCTTCGTGTCTCGTGGGAAGGGCCAAGCAGCAGCATACGCGAGCAAGATGTGCTGCTGCAGTAACGTGCTGCTGATGGCTCCGGTGGAAAGCCGGGGTGAGTTTGAACTCTGCTTCAACACACCTGATTTCAGTCAACAGGTGATTAACAGGCTTCTGCAGAGCCCGAGGAGCTGCTGCAGGTGATTCAACCACTGAATCTAGTGTGTTGGAGCAGATAAATCACTAAAACGTGCTGGATACTGGCCCCCCATGACCGAGATTGGGCACCCCATCTTTTAGAGTTAGGGTTATGGGCTCGACACACGGGAGGCGACAAACGACCGCGATCAGCGAAATTTGTCGCCGTCGCTTTTATTACCTGACACACGGGAGGCGATCTGCGGCAGCGGCCAGCGGCAAAGCCGTCTACGCGTTCTGTTCCATGGCGAAATCGAAACTTCCGTTGTTTTCTTTGGCTGTGTCAGGTTGGAGGGAATTAAGGTTATTTAAGCGGTTCAGAGTTAATAAAGTGGTAGATATGATGTTTCACAAGGTGCTGCTAGAGTTATGTGAAATCTTACTTCTGATTTTACTATAAAACATAATAATAATCAACTTCTACATGTTTGCTCGGAGATGTGCGGAGCATCCTGTCCGCTCATTGGTCAGTGAATGAAACCTCCGTTGATTGGTCCTCGCCCGAGCGACAGCGATGAAAAGTTGAAAATGTTTCAACTTTCTGGGATCGCGTCGCTGGGTCGTCCGTGCACGACACGTGCACGAGTGCAAACTTTCACACGCACGTTTTTCGCGTTTCGCTTGGTAGGAGGGAGACCCGCGATTATCGCTTTGTCGCGCATGTCTCATTGAAAATGAATGGAGGAGAGGCGATGTCGCCTCCCGTGTGTCGAGCCCATTAGATGTGTTGTGGTTACATTCATTAAAAACTATTCAGCTGTTAATGAGATTCTTTTCTACTAAAAGCTAAAACCTCAGAGAGAGGACGAACGCAGCATGTCCTGACTGGTGCTTTTCAGCAGCTAAACCACGAGCTGATCTCCAGCATTGTGTCTAAGCAGACCTGATCCTGGAGCAGCAGCTTGTATTTGTCCATGTAGCTACACAGATGGGGTCCGTATGGTGCTGAGCAGACGTCTCTGGCGTTTCAAGTACATTAGCAGTTACACAAGTCCAAAAGGTGAAAAATAACTCTAGAGTCCTGGTAATGGCTGCTCTCAGAGCAGAGATTCAGCAGGTCAGCTGGTCTGGGATGAGCAGGAGTGTCACTTGCTCCGGTTTCACCGGGATGATGGACATGTGGGACAGTCTTTGTTGTTTGATTCTAACCTTTACTCGTGGGCTCCAGGTGTCTGACGATGACTCGTACATCAGTGATGTCAGCGACACAGTCTCCATGGATACCTTCGATGGAGGCAGCGAGAGACACAACTCCGGTACATGAAACGAGTCGTGCATGTGTTTGTTAGGCTGTAACTGTCGTTGTTATTCAGGATTTGCTGCGGATCTCTGACTCAGCTGTTGTGTTTAGCCGTGGAATCGGTGAAACACCTCGCTAGCTGGGAGAACGTGTTAAACACGAGCATCGCAGACTTCCAGACATGTTTGCAAACTTGCTGTGATGTTTCATCAGACCATCTGTGGCGAAGCTTCTGTTGTTAATGCCCTGCTGCAGATGATACGTTTATATGTTCACATCGGGTTTTGGCTCTCACACGGTTTAAAATGTACGTGTCATCCTCCAGTCAGCAGCGTGGTGACCATGACCCGCCGCCGCCGCTCCGCGCTGCCCTGCCCCTGTCCACCCAGCAGCGTGAGTCTGTGGAACATTCTCAGAAACAACATCGGCAAAGACCTGTCAAAGGTGGCCATGCCCGTGCAGCTCAATGAGCCGCTCAACACTCTGCAGAGGCTGTGTGAGGAGCTGGAGTACAGTGACCTGCTGGACACGGCCAACCAGACGGAGGACGCGTACCAGCGCATGGCGAGTACAAGCAGTCCATGCACACACATGCTCTGACACGTGGACATGTCTTCATATGTGCACAAAACAGGCTGGAGTTAAGTTTATAAATGAATCTACTGTACTTGAGTTTCAATAAATACACGGAAAGAGTGTGTTCATGTGCATGAAAACCATCTTCATCAGTAAATTTGATTATGGCAAAGACACATGTTAGAACGTCCTTCTGGTTGGACACACTAAGAGGATGTCCCTTAGGACTGCAGCACCAGACGGGACGCAGGAGTGGGTTTGGACTCAGATGCACCTGAATCAGGAAGTAGTCAGCCAGAGAACGTAGCTTCAGACGGCAGTGTCTGGAGTCTTATATCTTGATTTTTGGACATCTCTTCTCTGATTGGATAACAGCAACACGACTCTACTAGGGTTGTCACGGTGTGAAAATTTAACCTCACGGTTATTGTGACCAAAATTACCACGGTTTTTGGTATTATCGCGGTACTTTTTTTTAAACGTGCTATATTTTCACACAATTAAATAAACTCTGTATATCAGGAAATATTGTCCTCAGTTTGTGTCTAAATTTAGCCTAAAATGTATTTTGTAATTATGTTGTTTATTTGTTTACATTTTTTCCCTTTAGTCTTTAAAATACCAATATTTGCCCATAACTTCTTATTTTAAGTCTGTTTGATGTCATCATTTAAAAATATTAGATCAGATGATACTCGGTACTCAAGTAGCCTTCTAATCAGATACTTTTTTACCCTTACTTGAGTAATAAACCCTGCATATCAGGAAGATATTATCCTCGGTCTGTGTCCTTCCAGTGAGCTTTGCAGATGTGGGAAAATGTCATCAGGCAGTAATCATTGTTAAATTCATAATTATTCTCGGAGAGAGACCAACTCTTATCTGCCCCTGGGAGCCCCGTAATGCATAGCGTCATTTCAACATGGGGGTGTCCGCGACACGGTTTCTATGCAGGTAGCGGCGCTGCGGCTGTTTTATATAGCGACTCGTTGCATTCTCCCTCAACCCAAATACTCGGATCACGCATTTTAGCTAAAACGCTAACATTAGCTTGCCTTGCATTGACTGTAGAGCTGTGGGTGATGGTCACGCAGATGTGTCATGAGATTTGAAGCGTTGCTGCCTTTCACAGACACTTTTTCTGCACGTGCTGCTAACAGGATAGCCGTCTTCTATAAACTCCCTCGGCATTCTTCAAATATCCAAAAGATGCCCGTACTTCCCACTTTGTCTTCTTTGAGGGATAAAAAATGTCCTCCTGAGCACTGCCGTCTCCTCCTTTGGCCATTATTTCGGCTTTAGCTTCAAGAAAGTTTTGGTTGTAAACAACAAAGCGCGCATGTGCCGCCGGCAACTTCAGCAGATGATACGGTGGCTGGTAAGGGTCACCGCGCCTACACCGCAGCCACGTTAACCCACCGAGATAATATAGTTTTTTTTTAAAAAAAGACGGTTATTATTATTGTCAACTTTTTTACCGGGGTTTACCGCTACACCGGTTACCGTGACAACCCTAGACTCTACTACATACTCTGTTTGCTCTGCAACGTTGGTGTTTTATCTCCACCTGGCGGAGTTCTGCTGTGTGGTGGAGTTGCTAATGCTAACAGTTAGCTTCTACTAGCCAAGACGTTCTCTGCTGTTTCCTGGACGCTAATGTCATGACTCGAGGGAGGTGTTTAACCCAAGACATGCAGAATCAACACGACTCCAATGGGTGAGTAAAAGAAAAGTTCTTTTATTTTTAAAACAGGAACAAAAGGCGCACTGGAAAGTCCAGTGAGGATGTGCCATTCGGCTTTAGTCCATGTAATAGTCCAATATGTGCGGGAAAGGTGGGTTGCCAAGGTGAGTGCTGGTGGAGCTTCAGCGGGCTGAGGCGGGTGAGGCAGCAGAGATGAACAGGCAAGAGTTGTAGAGGAGGATGGGACGTGGTTCAGGAAATCCAGGGTTTGAGCGGCGAGAGAATTGTGCAGAGTGATGTTTCCTGAACAGAGTAACAAACAGGGTTCAGAGGAGAATCCAAAAGCTTAATCTAGAAAAAACAGCTCAAGGTTCAGAGCCAAAAAATCCAATATCTAATTCAAATGAGCGAAACGAGCAAGCAAAGTCAAGAGGCTGGGGTTACCTAACAGGTGCAATCATCCGGCGTAGTGTGGTGTCTCCATCCTCCCTTTTTACCCGACATCCGGATTGGAGATTCGGCGCACCTGCAGCTCCCTCCACTCCTCACCTGTGGAAGATTGCCTCAGAGATGGTTAGTGTGGAGAGAGTGCTCAGCTCAGGAACATGGCACCGGACACAGGGGGCTGGAAACCACGGGCTTGACCAGGGATACATGGAACACAGGGTGGACCTTCAGCGATTGGGGGAGGTCCAGGCGAATGGTCACTGGGCTCGGAACAGCCACCACCTTGAACGGACCAAGGTACCTTGGGGCAAACTTCCTAGACGTCGCCTTGAGGGGTATGTCCTTGGATGACAACCAGACCATCTGCCCCGGGGAGTAGGTCGGCGCTGGGCGACAATGCCGGTCTGCCAGCCGCTGGTTCTTCTCAGCGGTACGTAGGAGGGCAGACTTCGTGGCCGCCCACATACGGCGGGCCCGGCGAAGAAACTGAGGTGTGGAAGTGGTGGGACCTGTTTGGAGCGGGAACAAGGAGGGCTGATATCCACTAGAGACTTCAAACAGAGACTGACCTGTGGCAGTGGAGTCGTGGCTATTGTGGGTGTACTCCACCCAAGCGAGGTGGTCACTCCAGGCAGAGGGGTTTGTGGCACACACACAGCGTTGCATGGCGCCCAGCTCCTGATTCATGCGCTTGCACTGGCCATTGGTTTTGGGGTGGAATCCCGAGGTTAAGGCGACCCGGGCCCCCAGGACGGTGGCGAACTCCTTCCAAACCTTGGACACGAACTGGGGGCCGCGATCCGAGAGGTTTTCAGTTGGTATGCCATGGAGCCGAAACACATGCTTGACCAGGAGCTGGGCGGTCACGACTGAGGAAGGAAGGGTCTTTAAAGGAACCAGGTGACAGGCCTTGGAAAACCTGTCTACAATAGTCAGTACAGTAGTAAAACCATGGGAGGAAGGTAGTCCACAAACAAAGTCTATTGCTGTTTGTGACCACGGGCGAGACGGAACAGGCAGAAAACACAATAATCCAGCTGGTGGTCGATTGGTACCTTTCTGTTGGGCACAAACGTGGCACGCCGACACGTACTCCTTGACGTCCTTATAGATGGCGGGCCACCAGAAAGAGCTCTTGATTAGTGCCAAGGTTCATCCCACCCCGGGGTGTATGGTGAACCTCCCAGAGCGAGCCCAGTGTATGACTTTTCCTCGCAGACTCTGAGGAACAAACAGTTTATTGGATGGTCCATTACCTGGGCCAGGATCGACATTGAGAGCCTCCAAAACCTGGTCCCTGATTGCCCAGGTGACCCCTGCCACTATGCAGGAAGGAGGCAGAATGATTTCAGGCGTGGATTCATCCTCTGAGGCATACTGGCGGGAGAGAGCGTCGGGCTTAGTGTTCTTAGATCCTGGGCGATAAGACGATACAAAATTAAAATGAGAGAAGAACAAGGACCAACGGTATTGCCGAGGGTTAAGTCTCTTAGCTTCCTTTAGGTAAGTCAGATTCTTGTGATCTGTCCAAATCACAAACAGATGTTCAGCCCCCTCCAACCAGTGCCTCCACTCCTCAAGAGCCAGTTTAATGGCCAGTAACTCCTGGTCTCCCACATCATACCTGCTTTCGGTAGGTGTTAAGCGCCGGGAGAAAAAGGCACAGAGATGGAGCTTGTGATCTGCAGTGGATACCTGTGAGAGGACCGCTCCCACCCCAGTGTCCGAGGCGTCCACCTCCAAGGTGAACTGCTGCGTAGTGTCAGGCCTGCAGAGTACCGGGGCCTCAGAGAACCTCTTCTTGAGTGCCCGGAAGGCTGCCTCAGCCTCTGGAGACCAAACAAAAGGTTTAGAAGTGGAGGTGAGACGTTAGTGGAGCAGTGGTTTGACTATAGTTTCTAATGAACCGTCTATAAAAGTTGGCAAAGCCCAGAAATCGCTGCAGCTGTTTTCTGGTGGTAGGAATGGGCCACTCTGTCACAGCTTGCACCTTGTCTGGGTCTGCCTTCAATCACCCGCTCTCCAACACAAAACCTAGAAATTTCACAACAGGTACATGAAATTCACACTTTTCTGCTTTAACAAACAGTCTGCTCTCCAAAAGCCATTGTAAAACAGCTCGAACATGTCTCTGGTGCTGAGTGATGGACCTGGAAAAAAATCAAAATGTCATCCAGATAGACAGTCACAAAGTCATTCAAATAATCACCCAGAACAGAGTTCACCGGTCTCTGGAACACCGCTGGAGCATTGGTGAGACCAAAAGGCATCACCAGGTATTCGAAGTGCCCCAAAGGTGTTTTTAAAGCCGACTTCCACTCATCCACCTTGGCGGATCCTAACCAAGTGATAGGCGTTACGGAGATCCAACCGTGTGAAGATGGTGGTGTCTTGGACTGGTTCGAAAGTGGAAGACAGTAGGGGTAGGGGGTACTTGTCCTCGACAGTTATCTGATTCAGACCCCGGTAGTCAATGCAAGGCCGGAGAGACCCATCCTTCTTGGCGACGAAAAAGAAACCCGCCCCCAGGAGTGAGGTAGATGGTCTAATGGTCCTGTTTGCCAAAGCCTCAGTTATGTAGGTCTGCATGAGGTCACGTTCAGGTTTTGAGAGGCTGTAAAGACGACTGGATGGCAACGGAGTTCCCGGTAACAGGTCTATGCCACAATCAAAAGGGCGATGAGGAGGTAGCGTGGCAGCCTGCTGAACACCTGTTGAAGGTCGTGATAAACAGGGGGTACCTGGGAAAGTTCGGGGGGCTCAGTAGGCGCCAAGCCGGAGTCCTTAGACATGGTAGGTGCTGAGTTGAGGCATGTGAGATGACACTCCGGACTCTAGGATTCAACTCTGCTGGCTCGCCAGTCCAGAAGCGGGTTGTGTTTATTGAGCCAAGAATGTCCAAGCACCACAGGGTTCTGCGGGGATGGGAAAACAAACAGTGAGAGTGTCTCTGTGTGGTTACCTGAAACCTGGAGCTGGAGTGGCAGGGTCCTGTGGGTGATGGTAGACAGTACTCTGCCGTCCAGTGAGGTAACCGACACTGGTTCGGGGAGAAGTTCAGTGGAGATACGCCATTCACAGACCAGTTGGGAATCCACCAGAGACTGCTCGCAACCCGAGTCTATTAGGGCAGTAGTCAGGTGGCGTTGATTATTCCAAGTTACAGTACACTCGATGAGGAACCGGGAGGTTTTACTTCCAGTGTTACTACCCACCAGGACTCCCAGTTCTACTGGTGGGCTCGACCTTTTAGCAACGCCAGGCATGTCTGAACGAAATGTCCTGGAAGTCCACAGTACAGACAGAGGCCCTTGCTGATGCGCTGTTGTCATTCCTCTGGGGTTAGATGGGCTCTTCCCAACTGCATAGGCTCCTCCGATGACTCCGCGGGAGAAGGTCTAGAGGTAGGACGGCGAGGTGTAGGAGACGGTGGAAACTCCACCGCTGACGTCCTCTGAAGCTCACGATATCTCTTATAGATTGAGATGGATAGAGAGATTAATCCATCCAGGGTGGATGGTTCGGGACACAGAGGTAGCTGATTCTTTATTCTGTCACTCAGGGCCTCAATAAAAGCTGCCTTTAAGGGGTCGTCATTCCACGACGTCATGGCCGCCAAAGTCCTGAACTCCAGAGATAACTCTGTCACCATTCTCCTCCCCTGAGACAGATGCAAGATCTTCTTCCTTATGTCAGTTGTGGTCTCAGAACTGCAGAAAGTCTGTTTAAAATCCTCCAAAAAGTCAGTATAAGGACCAGACAAAAATTCAGCGTTTCTGCTTTTTGCTTCTGCCCACCTAAGAGCCTTTCCCCTCAAAAGTCCAACAATAAACGAGACCCTAGAAGAGTCAGTCATAAAAGCATGTGGGGAGCGCTTGAACGCCAGACGGCACTGTAGTAAAAACCCATAACAATCCTCGAACTCACCCGAGAACGTAGGACATGGCAGAGGTGGAGCTGGACGAAAGTGGGTGACTTCCGTAGGTCCGATCGTCTCCGGTCCATTCGGACTCACTGTTTGTAACGTAGGTTCCGGGCTTGAAGCAGAAGTTGCGACTGGAACTGATGCTGGGGCCGGTGCTGGAGCTGGAGCTGGAAAACGCTCGTGAAGCTGTTGGACCATAGCCTCCAAATGCTGGTAACGCTGGTTTGCGATCGTCAGCTGCTCCATGAGCACCGGAAGAGTCTGCTCCTGCTGGCACATCCTGTTAACCAGATCGGCGAGTGCTGATTCCGCTGGGTTAACGTTATGGCCGGATGATTCTGTCATGACTCGAGGGAGGTGTTTAACCCAAGACATGCAGAATCAACACGACTTCAATAGGTGAGTAAAAGAAAAGTTCTTTTATTTTTAAAACAGGAACAAAAGGCGCACTGGAAAGTCCAGTGAGGATGTGCCATTCGGCTTTAGTCCATGTAATAGTTTAATATGTGCGGGAAAGGTGGGTTGCCAAGGTGAGTGCTGGTGGAGCTTCAGTGGGCTGAGGCGGGTGAGGCAGCGGAGATGAACAGGCAGGAGTTGTAGAGGAGGATGGGACGTGGTTCAGGAAATCCGGGGTTTGAGTGGCGAGAGAATTGTGCAGTGATGTTTCCTGAACAGAGTAACAAACAGGGTTCAGAGGAGAATCCAAAAGCTTAATCCAGAAAAAACAGTCCAAGGTTCAGAGCCAAACAATCCAATATCAAATTCAAACGAGCGAAACGAGCAAGCAAAGTCAAGAGGCTGGGGCTACCTAACAGGTGCAATCATCCGGCGTAGTGTGGTGTCTCCATCCTCCCTTTATACCCGACCTCCGGATTGGAGATTCGGCGCACCTGCAGCTCCCTCTGCTCCTCACCTGTGGAAGATTGCCTCAGAGATGGTTAGTGTGGAGAGAGTGCTCAGCTCAGCTCAGGAACATGACAGCTAAACCAATAACAGCCTTCTCCGTCGTGAGTCAGATGGGTGAGGCCATGTATGTTAGTGACTGTGTGACATAGATCTGTTAGGATTTTCTAATCCTAGAGTTTCACTGTCTATTTTCTATCAGAAGCTACTGCAGGAGATAGGTATAGGAGACTATTTTCATGTTCAGCCTGCATGAAACACTTTGTGACAGATTATAATCAGAAATAATCATTAAACATGTTTTTTTTTCAGTGATCCACACCTATAATGCTCCTTCTTTCATCCTGGAAGAAGGACGTGAAGTTCGCTAAACTCACAGCCATTTTTCTTCTTCTAGTTGGATGATGTGATTTTTCTGAGGCAAGCAGCTGGAGTCCTACATGTTTTCACACAAAACCTGTAGCAACTTTTGCTGCCGTTCAAAAATAAACGCTTTCTTGACATCAAAGTGTGTCTTTAATATTCTTGGACATCATATGTGGCACATCACAAACGGGATCCGAAAACAACTTTTACCCTCGTAGACCCATTCATGCTTTCTGCCGTGGACTGGAAGTAGATAGGTGTGGCTAACTATACCTGTGAAATGGATTGGCGTAGAGCCAATTTTGTGTTTGCTGAGGTTGATTTGCTGTGGTGACCATCTTGAATTAGGATGAATCCAAATCTCAGTCAGTTGCTGATGAATGTCCAGTTACCCTGTTAGCTTTTACACACACACACACACACACACACACACTGGTAAAAAGATGATAATATAATCACACCCTCCTCCTCTGACCTGCTCCTTCTCTCTCCTACTCAGGTGTACGTGGCAACGTTTGCTATATCTGCATACGCATCATCTTATTACCGAGCAGGAAGTAAACCCTTTAACCCCGTCCTGGGAGAGACGTACGAGTGTGACAGACCTGACAAGGGCTTCAGGTTCATAGCTGAACAGGTAGAATGTTCCTTTATGACATTTAGATCATCAGTTTTTCTTGTGAAGAGTTTTCTTTTATCAAATCTTTTAGCTATTTCAGGCACAGGAGAAGTTCAGAATAAGGACTTGTAATCATACACCTCCTCCTCTCCTATCCCCAGGTGAGTCATCACCCACCTGTGTCAGCATGTCACTCGGATTCAAAGAACTTCAACTTCTGGCAAGGTGAGAGCCTGTTTGGGGTGAGCACTGGGTTTCCTCCCCCTAGATCCCACCTGTGCTGTCACACCTATGTGTATGTGTGTGTGTGTGTGTGTGTGTGTGTCATATTTAAAGTGGAAACTTGTAGACTGGTGCAGATCTGTCGGGAACACATCATCATCTTGATTTGTGATCATCTCGTTTCAGACATGAGGTGGAAAAATAAGTTCTGGGGGAAATCCATGGAGATTGTTCCCATGGGAACCACACATGTCACACTACCTGCGTAGGTCCTTTACTCGTCCTGTGTGCGTGTGTGTGTGTACGTGTGTGTATCTATGAGCTCAGGGTTTGCGGCGTTCCTGCAGGTTTGGGGACCACTATGAATGGAACAAGGTGACTTCCTGCATACACAACATCCTGAGCGGGCAGCGCTGGATCGAACACTACGGAGAGATCTCCATCAAAAATATCAACAGTGACGTCTGCCAGTGTAAAGTCACGTTTGTCAAGGTGAGGAAACGCCAACGTGTTCAGGGAATCGAGACAGAAACTTGTATTTATGTCAGGCTAGTCCCACACATGCAATCCTTCAGATTAGTTAGAATTATCCACTTGGAATAGAGTTTATAGATTAATTATTAAGGTATTAAAATTGAACAATGCTCATCTCTTCTGCTGTGGGTCAATGGCGCCCTCTGGTGGACATGCCGTGGTCTTGATTTAAGAGAAGAGCAGAAGCCACATTTTCTCCCCAGTGTGAGCGGAAAAGCCTTCTTTTGTGAACATTTGTTGTTTTCCCGCCCTTTTAGGCGAAGTCTTGGAGCTCCGCGGTAAACGAAATTGAAGGTGTGATTACAGATTCCAATGGAAAAGTGATACACTCCCTTTTTGGAAAATGGCATGAATCCGTGTTCCAGGGAGAGCCGCCTGCCGCCACGTGCATCTGGAGACCAGGTGGGTGAAAACCGTGATGTTGGTGATCAGTCCAACTGGGAGTCTGACTGCAGGACATTTGGTTTGCCAACAGGTCCAGTACCAGAGAACAAGGACCAGTACTACGGGTTCACCCAGTTTGCAGTGGAGCTGAATGAGCTGGACTCATCTTTAAGACCGCTGCTCCCCCCCACAGACACTCGCTTCAGGCCGGATCAGAGGTTTCCACTCTTACACTCTCATTTATGTTCTTTCACCATTTTTATTCCTCATTATCATAAACAGTTGGGATAGTCGACTCAAAGTTTCCACGCGTGACTAGTTAGTCATGAAAAACCTTACTTGCTAACGGGAGAGACGGTGCTGCGCTTAAATGGTAAAATGGTAAATGGCCTGTATTTGATATGGCGCCTTCTAGAGTCCTGGAACCCCCCAAGGCGCTTTACAACACAATCAGTCATTCACCCATTCACACACACATTCACACGTTGGTGGGGATGAGCTACGATGTAGCCACAGCTGCCCTGGGGCGCACTGACAGAGGCGAGGCTGCCGAGCACTGGCGCTGCCGGTCCCTCCGACCACCACCAGCAGGCAACGTGGGTTAAGTGTCTTGCCCAAGGACACAACGACAGTGACAGACTGAGCGCGGCTCGAACCTGCAACCTTCCGATTACGGGGCGAGCACTTAACTCCTGTGCCACCGTCGCCCCATCATTAAAGCATCATTTATTTAGATTTTTCTTATTGGTTTAAAAAAACAACAGAAATGTTTTAGATGGGCTGCCTGGTGGTACTGATGCCTCACAGAGATGGTTGCAAGTTCAAATCCCAGCTGTAGCCTTTCTGTGTGTGATTAGCATGTTCTCCCCGTGTGTGTGTGTGTGTGTGTGCGTGTGTGCGTGTGTGTGTGTGTGTATTTTCAAACAGCAAAAACATACACCTCAGGTAACTGGAGACTCTAGACTGTCCCTGGGTGTGAGTGAGGGACTGGTTGTTTGTCTTTGTGTCCCTGTGATGGACTGGACACCTGTCCAGGGTGTCCCCTGCCTCTCGCCCTGTGACTGCTGGGGTTGGACACCAGCTCCCTGTGGCCCTAGTGAGGATAAAGTGGTTCAGACAATAGATGGAGGGATTTTTTCATGTTTCTAAACAACAAGCATGGGTCGGGTCAACAGAACGATCCTGGATTAGTTTCAGCCTGGCTTGATTGGTTGAGCTGAACTTTAAAGACTTGTTGAATAAACCAACAGACATCTGCCAGAGTTAGGAACGCCGCTGTTGCTGCTTCGGTTTGCCTGACTGCAGCATCGACCTAAACGGGAACAGGCACCTGATGTGACCCGCAGGTGAAGCCAGAACAGCAGGTTCTGGTAGATGTTTGTAACTCCGCCCACTTCCCGTTGTTTTTAGAAATGAATAAAAAAAAAAACACCTCAGCCGTATTTAAGACATATGTGCTAGGGGCTGCATGACTTCATTTTTTTTTAAGTCGACAGTCAAGTAATGAAACTTTGACTAGTCGCTGATGATGTCACACACCTGAAGCAGGTTGGTTCGCTGGAGTTTTTGACAAATAAAATTGCGCCCACATTTTCAAAGTTAAACACATTTCTTTTAACAACGGTAGTTTCTGCCCCCCCCCCCCCTGCAGCCTCTCAGAGTTCCTGCTGCTCTAAACATTAAAATAATTATTTTATTTTCTGTTCCTCACTTCTGATTACCTTCAATGGTGTCTGCTTGTTGCAACCACCAGGTACAAAAACTAATTTGTGTTTATTTGACTATTTTTCTGTCCTGCCTGTTTATTATCTTCCTGCATCTCCTCTCAATCCTAAAGAAAAACTGCTACCTGGGTTCATATATATTCACCTTATGAGTTACCTTTGAACTGTTGTTCTAAAAGATCTACCGACCGCTAAAACAGCGGAGTGCTCGCCGGCCACATCAGTTAGGTGCGTCACCGGAGGACAAAACAGGTGATGCGCCCCGATCCACAGCAGAGAAAAGCATCAGGCACAAATAAAAGAACAAAAGACAGAAAACATAAAAAGAAATGAGCCGACATGAACGATCGCAGGTTAAATTAGTTTTTGAGGTGGCGACACCTGATTTGATAATGTTACTGTGGCCGTGCTCAGGACGCAGATGTCTGGAGCGCATCAACGATCAGAGCTTTGCATGCGCAAGCTGGTTAAGATTAGGATGGGGGTGAGGGGAAGGTTAGATTGCAAGAGGGTAAACGTCACAGTTTGGTTAAATGTCCGTTTTACCACGGGCGTCAGATATGGACGCTCTGGCACAGCGCGTCGCCTCCCGCTGCGCAGGGGCTCGTCACCTGCTGTCTTTTCCGAGGACTGCATCTGGTCGGTCATTATCACGTGACGGCGACTAGTCTATGAAAGGCATAAAAAGTCACTACAGAGCAGAGAAGTCGACTAGACGACTAGTTGACTAGTCGATACAACCCCTAATATGAACCAGCTCTAAAGGATGGTGTTTCCAGAATGGGTCAAATGCCGGTCCTGCACGCCTCCTGTGGCCCACATCATCACATGTAATAAAACTGGCCTGCAGCTGTACAGCACAGATACCAGCAAAACCACAGCTCCCAGAATGCACTGGGACAAGCAGTGTTGTCTCAGGCCCAGGTAAGAGTCGGTCTCACTACAGAACAAATTTCATTCTGACCATGGAAGTCTAAAGTCTGCTCCACACGCCGACAGCTGCAACCACACTCCTGCCCTACAGAATGCCATAAAACACACGTTTTTATCTTAACTCAACATGAGTTGTGTTTGAGTGGCTGAGGCGTACATCTGGGGGTGTTACCATGGCAACAGAGGAATGCAAACATTTCAAATAACACGACTATATTATCTCTTCAGCCAGCATGTACCTTGTTTTGTGAGGGGAGGGCTTGTGACTGGTTCTAACCTTCTAACTGGTTCCAGGCTGCTGGAGGAGGGGAACGTAGACGCGGCTGAGGAACAGAAGCAGAGGATCGAGCAGCTGCAGAGGGAGAGGAGGAAAGTGCTGCAGGACAACAACATGACACACCAGCCGCGCTTCTTCAAGTACGTAGAGCCACCAGACTCCGTCCTGCTGGTTCAGACACACACTCAGGGTTAGAGTATCACGTTTTTTGTGTTTCGTGTTCACAGGAAGTCCAAGGATGACTCATGGGTGAGCAACAAGACCTACTGGGAGCTGCGCAGAGAACCTGGCTTCAGCAAAATGGATTTCCCTGTGTTATGGTGACCCCGCTGAAACCCGCTGTAGAAGAGGAAGTGTCCAACTGAACGGGGAGCAGCTGCAGCCCTGACCTGGTTGAGATGCTCCGTGTCATCGTAACACAAGTCCACACGGACCTCCAGCTTCCTGTTTCTGGATACAAGTGCTCACAACCCGCCGTGCTTCTTCCACTTTGTTCCTGTTCTTTAACAGTTTTATGTAGTCTCCTTCATTTTAACTGCGACTGGAACCAGAGTAGATCAAAGATCATGACCGTGTGTTCTGTTGCTTTTATCAAAGTGCCTTTTTACTGTAGTGCTGCACTCAACGAGCTGCTGGAGCAGTTATGCAACAAAAACCACTCAGTGGAGTCAGAGCGATGCTTCAGAAAGGACAGAAGAACCAGAACCGTCTGGGACTCTCCGCTGAGATCCGGTTTATCGTGGTCTCATGCCTTTTTCAGTAGCTGCCTTGTGATCGTGACTTCTTTAACCAGACTGTAAATACTGTGTGTGATTGGGTTTTTCAGAGGAAAACAGCAATAATACTTCCTGTTGGAGCAGGATAATAAAGTTTACACTAGGTGAAATAATTGTGCTTTTTTATTAGACTTTCAGGAGCAGCATCTCTCCTGTAATCTATGACCGACGTCATCGGTTTAAACTAGAATAAAACTAGTAATTCTAGGCTAGTAAATCCCAGCGAGACTGAGTGAGTCTGACACCTGGGAGCTAGTTGTCCCGGGGTTAGGTCTCATTAGTTTTGTTACAGTAGCTGAAAGTTGCAGCTAAACATTTCCACCTTGAACAAGAAGTTTTCAACCAAACCTCAGAAACACCTGCGCCCCAATTTAGGAAGTCCTTTCTGATTTAACGCACTACATTTAATAATGCAACAGTCTGTATTTAGATAAAGAAACTCAGGTGTTTTACTCCAAACCTATGGGAGAGGATCCTGAAGGTTTGCATCATCGTTCACCTCAAACAGCTTCGTCCTGCGGCTGCAGCCTCCTGGAGGAACAGCTTCGGCCTGCGGCTGCAGCCTCCTGGAGGAACAGCGTCGTCCTGCGGCTGCAGCCTCCTGGAGGAACAGCGTCGTCCTGCGGCTGCAGCCTCCTGGAGGAACAGCTTCGGCCTGCGGCTGCAGCCTCCGGGAGGAACAGCTTCGTCCTGCGGCTGCAGCCTCCTGGAGGAACAGCGTCGTCCTGCGGCTGCAGCCTCCTGGAGGAACAGCTTCATCCTGCGGCTGCAGCCTCCTGGAGGAACAGCTTCGTCCTGCGGCTGCAGCCTCCTGGGGGAACAGCTTCGGCCTGCGGCTGCAGCCTCCTGGAGGAACAGCGTCGTCCTGCGGCTGCAGCCTCCTGGAGGAACAGCTTCGTCCTGCGGCTGCAGCCTCCTGGAGGAACAGCGTCGTCCTGCGGCTGCAGCCTCCTGGAGGAACAGCTTCGTCCTGCGGCTGCAGCCTCCTGGAGGAACGGCTTCGTCCTGCGGCTGCAGCCTCCTGGAGGAATAGCTTCGGCCTGCGGCTGCAGCCTCCTGGAGGAACGGCTTCGTCCTGCGGCTGCAGCCTCCTGGAGGAACAGCTTCGGCCTGCGGCTGCAGCCTCCTGGAGGAACGGCTTCGGCCTGCGGCTGCAGCCTCCTGGAGGAACAGCTTTGGCCTGCTTAGTCAATTCTGAGGTTTATTTTGTCTACTTTTATTTTCCCGTTGAGCTCGTTCGGTTACCCGTCAACAAAAGCTGAAAGCCTTGAAACAAGCACAGATCTGTAAACATATTTATGTTCATTCTGTGTTATTTTCTAACTGCATTACTTTTTCCAACACAGCAAAAGACTTCTTACCTGGTTCTTTAGGCTGATGCTTCAGCTAATACTGTAGCCTTCCTCAGAGCTTGCCGCTGTCGTCGGCATCACTTCCTTCTCCGTTTTTCCGCCGTTCAACAGCAACGGAGAAAGGTGTGAGCAAAGAAGGGAAAACGTGTAGAGTTAAAATTTCTGAATAATAATAATAATGTGTGTGTGTGTACTCGTCTTTACATCAAAGCGAGGACCAATGACAAGCTTTTACCTACAAAGTGAGGAAATTTTTCTGGCCCTCGCATTGGGACAATGTTAAAGAGCTATACTGGTTAGTTTTAGATGTATGATGTGAGCTACATTTCAGTTAGGGTTAGGCACAATCCAGTGGTGTGTGTGTGTGTGTGTGTGTGTGTGTGTAACAGATGCAGCCATTTCATCTCATATTAATCTGTTATTCACTCAGAGCTGGAGGAGGAGTGCAAGTCTTATCTGCTGCTGGAAAGCATGGAGCTTTACATCTGGACTCTAGGATCCACATCCAATAATAATAATAATTATTTATTCAATCAGGACAATAAAAGTTTATTTTAGTTCATTTGTTTTATTGAATTTGGTGCATGTTCCAGAGTCCGGATCTGCAGGGTTTCCAGGGTGATCGTTATCAAAACTAAACTTAGAATGATGATTTCAAACGGACAGGCAGTGGTTTTCCTTTGATGGGGAGGGAATGTGAGTGATGAATAAATTGTTACCACAGTGTGATTTAAGCAGCCAGCTCCAGTGACAAAACTAATGATGTGATCAGGATTAGGACCCAGGCACCGGTCAAATACAGATGTGTGTCTCATTGTGACTTTATTGGGCTCCTTTTGTGGGACTTCAGTTGCTGTGGTCAAACCAGTGAAATCAGTGAAAGTTTGGTCGTTTATGGGCAATTTAAAAAGGCCTTTATTTTGGAAGGCACCATCAGAATGACTTGATATTGATATGGTATCACTGTGGGGCTGTATACTGTTGATCTAAAGTGGAATTACCCTGTGGAAACAGCAATTTTCCATTTTAGAGCATTTTGAAATCGTTAAAGGTAGGTCAATTATGGACAATTTGAAAGGCCTTTATTTTGGAAGGCACCATCAGAATGACTTGATATTGATATGGTATCACTGTGGGGCTGTATACTGTTGATCTGAAGTGGAATTACCCTGTGGAAACAGCAACTTTCCATTTTAGAGCATTTTGAAATTGTTAAAAGAGTCAGTCAAATATGGGCAATTTCAAATTGCTGTGGTTTGAAAGTGTTGATACAAAATACAACTACTCTTTGAAAATATGACTTTTGCTTTTAAGCGGATTCTGAAGTCATTGAAAGAGTAGTTCAAAAATGAAAATTCACAGGGCTTTTAATTTGAAATCCAAAATAAGATTGCCTTGATATCGACAGGGCGCTAATAGTGAACAAGCCTAAATTATTTGTTATGTTCTTAAAATATCTGATAATTCACTTGAAGTTGAATTTTATTTTGAAATCCGGTTTCCACATCCATTCCCGTAATAACTTGAATAGACGGGGAACAGAAAACAAACTGGAGGCTGGCTTGACTGCAATGCTGGAATTGGAGGCTGGCTTGACTGCAATGCTGGAATTGGAGGCTGGCTTGCCCGTGGCTCTTCACCATCGACAGCCCTAACTGGCCTGCAAAGCTCAGAGCTTTTCTTTGTCTCGTCCAACAACTTTTTCTGTTCTTCTAGACTTCACATCATCTCCTGCATTTCTGCTTTGTTGGTCTTAAACTTTTGGATGTTTTTCTTCAGTTTAACTTTACCTTTCGTCAGTTAGTCATAGACCTGACCCATTTTGATCGTTGTTTCCTCCAGTTTCTTTTTCTCATCGTTTCGTTTAATCGTTTGTTCCTGCAGGTTCTAGGGCTAGAGGCAGCTGGTCCGCGCATGCGCAACATCACTATGTAATCGTTGGAGGGGGGGGCACCGTCCCTCCACCCTTTATACAGTCACAGCGGCTCCAGCTGAGCGCAGTCCCTGCTCTCCCACTTGCTTCTTCCACTATTTTGGAATATTTCGTCACATTTCGGCACCCGTAGATGCAAAGTTTGCAAAGGAACCAAACTCAACTTTGAGGTAACCAACTTTTTTAGACTAACATTAGATATAGTTTTAATGTTGTCTCGTGCTGTGACCAACCAGCCTGCTTCCCGGTTTAAAATAATAACACGTTATGTTTAATTTTAGTCCTTTTCTGAGTGGTCATATAACCGCAGGCGCGCGCTGCCTGGAAGTATGAGAAGCGCGCGAGACAGCTGGGATGGACAATTTAGTAGAGGGAAACAGTGACGTAAGACCGAGTAAATAGAGTGACCTTTATGCAGAATTTCTGCACTTTTGTTCATCTAAATGTATTAGTTTATTAATTCAAATGTGTGATTTGGTTAAACAGTCTTACATATGCCACTAATCTGGGAGTAGGTGCCTGTCCCCATCAGCAAGAGGCAGGTTACACCTGTACAGGTCACCTGTCCATCACAGGACACAACATCAATCCATGCAGGGACAGTTTGGAGTCGATTTGATCTGTGGGAGAAAATCTGAAAAATGTGCTGCAAATAGAAATAGGTGAAATGCGTTTCCTCTGCAGGGGGTCAGGGATAAGGTGAGGAAGTCAGATGTCACAGAGACTGTTGATACACCAGAAGGACAGGGACTGGGAATTGAGATCCCACCACAGGGGTTAGTGGAAGTGTCTGGGCTTCCTGACTTGTGCTGCTGCCCCTAAAACTCAGACCTTGATGAGCAAAAGAAATGCTCCTTTACCTCCTGCAGCTCAGCCATCTCACCATGTAAATAAACGTTAAAACAGAGGTAGAAATGACAGATCAGGACTGTGTTCTTCACATCTTCAGTAAAAACCAAGTCTCTTCACGAGAAGTCTAAACTGAGCTAAAAACAACAGAAGCCCTAAAAGGCAAGAGGGAAATTATTTACAATTATGATTTTTATTGTTATTATTTTTCATCTAACCAAAGGAATACGTTTATTACTCGTTTCATCTCGTATTAATCTGTTATTGCTTTGGGAAAACATCTTTTTCCTGTTTGTTGGATGAGAAGTAACCCAATCAGTAAACACTAGTACACCTGGGGGAATGACTCCGGTCCAGTTCACACTAAGCACGAGAAACATCAAGTATTTATTAGTTGTATATTTGAGCCTTTTGGGTTAGGGAAGTGTGCATCAGCATTACAACAACTTCTGAATAATTGACACTAAATGACTCAACAACACATGTAGCTGAGACTTCATCATGTCCTATGTTCATCTCTTTTGCTTTTCCTCCTGCCGGCTGTCTGATGTGTTGTTTTCCTCTGGTTATCTGTCCTCCACTGCCAAAGCTCTCTTCCCTCTTTGGTCCTCCCAACTCTTTTGGCACTGATTACTTTAAATATTTAAGTTAAGAAACGTGAGCCTGCTAATGTTATCCAGGGGACTTATTTTGTACCTCGGCTCTTCGGTGGGGAATGTACACTGTGGGTAAATGTTGCCAGCACATTACTGGGATGAATCTGATTTACAGGAAACAGGTCAACTGAGGAGAAATCACGTGAAAATCATCCTTTCTTTATTTTAGCAGCTAATGAAAAACATCATGGTTCTTTACAATCTTCTCTTTCAGTCTAAAACCATTCTCAGCTGAGGCCATGTTTTCCAAGGCAACTGCCAACTTTGTTCATCAGATCGACCCTGAAGGAAGCCTCATCTACGTGTCCCGGGTAAATGATTCCAAAAAACTTCTTCCCATGGCCATTGTCGTCAAGCGCAACCGCATCTGGCGCTGGCAGAGACCCAAGTACCAGCCGACGGACTTCACCCTCAGCGACTTGCTGCAGGGTGATGAGACTCTTCAACCTGGTATGTAAGAGGAACGTTGGCTTATCCAGCCTAGGGCTTCTCCCAAGTTAAAGGTCAACTTCACTGAAAAACTATTTTTAATTATTACTTCAGGCTGCAGCTAACACATATTAATCAAATATTCGATTTGAAGACGTTTCAGATTCATTCATTAATGACCACACAACAAGTTGGTGGAATTTGCTGCAGCATGACATGCTCACAGCTCAGTGTCTACACATGATGCAACTAAAAAACAAACCGGGACATACAAAAATGTAGGCAGTTTTAGTGACCGCATAGCTGTTGGGAAAAAACAGTTTTTGGTTCTAGTGTATTTTGCGTTGAAGGACCTGTAGCGTCTTCCAGAAGGCAAATATGTGCACAGATGATGTGCAAGGTGAGAGGGGTCCGAGGTGATTCTTCCTGCCGGTGGTATGATGCGTCAATGGTACAGCGTGTCAGTAAAAGGTAGGGTATGTCCCATAATTGTGGACATTTTGTCTGTTATGCGTTGTAGTTTTTTATGTGAGTTGGAGTCCAAATGACCATACCAGACTATTATGGATGGGTGAGTATACTTTGAATGATAGCGGTATAGAACCGTACAAGGATGCTGTGCCTCACTCTAAATTTGTTTAGTTGTTTGAGGGAAAAACAGCTTTTATTGGCTTTTATGTAAGTCTGTTCTGAGTTCTGTTTCCATTTGAAGGCATTACTAATGTATGTGCATTAAATTTAAAGGACTCTGCAATAGTGACAGGTTGTGTGGAAATGAGAATGGGTGTTTTATGAGTAGGAGAGCATGAGAAATCTACTATAAGTTCCTGTGTTTTTGATATGTAAAGTTGGAGGTCATTGTTTTGGCACCAAGTGACTACTTTGGCAACCTGTTCACGATCATGGTGTTCATTATTGTTAGAGATTAGTCCAATTATGGTGGTGTCATCTGCATATTTGAGAATAGAGACTGAGTTATGAGTAGGGATGGGTACCTTTGACATTTGAATAGATACTGTACTTAGTGGTACCAATTTTCGATACTTTTGAGTGTTTTATAATTATTTAAATCCTTTTTTAAATTAAAAATATATATGTTGTTTTCCCAATATATCACCATATTTGATAAATACTAGAGGTGCTGAAAAAAATCGATTCAAGTCTGAATCGGGATTCTTATTTATAAAGATTCAGAATCGATTCACAAAGGTTCAGAATCGATTCCAAGAACTCAAATATTTGACATGTTACAGGTTTGAGATGCACTTTTTTGATCTTTGTTAGGAGAGTCAGTACTCTACTTTTGTGGTCCCATAAATTGAGATGATTTATGTTTGAATCTGCTGATAAGAGGGCACTTGAATGAAATGTTTTCCATACTCTGAAATTTGAGATATTCTCATATTTATTTTCTAAGTTGATAAATGAGTACTCAGGATTACTCATGTAACTTGTTTCTACACATACTTGAAAAGTATTTGAACGCATTACTTTCAAAGCTACTGTTAGGTAACTACAGATTAGTTATATTTTACAAGATAAGCAAAAATAAATGTTGCCTTTTGGTCAAAAGATTGCTTCTGTAAACAGTTTTAGAATCACTTTAGTTTACATTGTAAATTTGCATTTTTGGAGCATGACCAGTTTAAAGCCAAATAAAAATGTCCCATAGCTTTAACTAACTTGTACAACAAAGTAGTTAATCCTGGAGCTGACACTCTTTGTTAATACTGATTGTGAATCGATTTAAACTGAGAATCGAGAATCGATTCTGAATCGAATCGGCACCCCGAGAATCGGAATCGAATCAAATCGTGAGTTGCTCTAAGATTCACATCCCTAATAAATACCATGTTAAATAACATACAACTGTTTGTATTTTGTCATCGTAGTGTTGTACAAAATTCTTCAATATGAAAACCTTTAACAACTGTTTCTAAATGAGGCAAGAACAAACCCCGCTCCATGTACTCTTGATCCTGTTCTACGCCCTCTGGAATAACTCTGATGAGGAAACCATGTTTTATAAACTACAAATGAAACTGAAACAAACTTCTATACCATACAACAGATTGTATTTTAATATTGTGGTTTTTCACAAACTAAACCAGCTCCATGTACTCCTTTCCCCTCAGGACAAACTGTGTGATGGTGGGTTCTTGTAGTTTTATAAACTGAAAATTAAACTGAAGCAAACATATTTTCTGTGAACTAAATTTTCTGTGTATCTTCATTCCTTTTGCTGTTCATTTTCACACTGTTTTCCCTACTCTGAAGTTGGAATTTCCGAGGAGATAGCAAACGCACCGTTAGCTATGTAAACAAAAACTAAACTAACAAGCTAACGTTATCTTAAACCATTTATTTTGCTGCTGGAGCAGATTAAGATGCCTTATACTCAGATTGTTGTCGCTTGTTTCATCATCACCCAAAAGCCCATCGCATTTAGTAAAGTGAAGCCAAACTTTAGAGTGTGTTTGCTTTCTTCTAGTGGGAATTTCAGAGTTCCGAGGAGATAGCGAATGCACCATTAGCTGAATGGAAGCTAACATATCAAGCTAATGTTATCTTAAACATTTCATTTACCTACCGGAGCAGATTAAGATGATGATGCCTCACTTAGATCATTGTTGGTTTCATCATCACCCAGTTACCATCCCATTTAGTGAAGTGGACCCAAACTTCAGAGTGCTTCGTCTCTGCCATGCTGCTTTGTTTACTGCTTGCTCACAGTGACTGACAACATTACGCTCTTGCGCCAGCGCACAGCTACTGAAACAAGGTACCATTTCATATGACGTGATTCGGTTCTCAGTCGATACTATGGGATTCGGTCAGTGCCTTAAAAAGTACAGAATTCGGTTCCCATCTCTAATCACAAGGTGTTCCCTGGCCAGCTGAGAAACATAGTACCTCTAGCATGTCCTGGGTCTTCCTTTAGGTCTCCTCCCAGTTGGATGTGCTAGGAAAACCTCACGAGGAAGGCATTCAGGAGGCATCCTAACTAGATGTCCGAGCCATCTCAACTGGTTCCTCTTGATGTGGAGGAGCAGTGCATCTACTCTGAGCCCCTCCTGAATGGCTGAGCGTCTCACTCTATCTCTTAGGGAGAGCCCCAAAACTGTACAGAGAAAACTTATTTTGGTTTCTTGCATCTGTGATCTTGTTCTTTCGGTCACTACCCAAAGCTCATGACCATAGGTGAGGGTAGGAACGTAGATCAACCGGGAAATCTATAGCTTTGCCTTCCAGCTTTGCTCTCTCTTCACCACATCAGACCGGTACGATGCCTGCATCACTGCAAACGCAGCACCAACCCGCCTATCGATCTTGTGATCCATCTTTCCCTCACTTGTGAACAAGATGGTAAATGGTAAAAAATGGCCTGTATTTGTATAGCGCCTTCTTAGGGTTCTACAACCCGCCAAGGCGCTTCACAAGACAATCAGTCATTCAGCCATTCACACACACATTCACACTCTGGTGGGGATGAGCTACAATGTAGTTACAGCTGGCCTGGGGCGCACTGACAGAGGCGAGGCTGCTGAGCACCTGTCCATCTGACCACCACCAGTAGGCAAGGTGGGTTTTGTCTTGCCCAAGGACACAACCGCAGCATTCTCTGGTTGGAGTCGGGATCAAACCTGCAACCTTTCGATTACTGGACAACCCACTCTACCTCCTGAGTTACTGCTGTCCCTAGATCACAAGATACTTAAACTCCTCCACTTGGGGCAGAACCTCAACCCTGACCTGGAGAAGGCATTCTACCCTTTTCCGACTCGAGAAAATGGTTTCGGATTTAGAGGAGCTGATTCTCCTTCCAGCTGCTTCACACTTGACTGTGAACCACTCCAGTGAGAGCGAGAGATCATGTTATGGTGAAGCCAACAGGACCACACCATCTGCAAAAAGCAGAGATCTGATCCTTAGGCCACCAAAACAGATCCCCTCAACACCTTGGCTTTGCTTAGAAATCCTGTCCATAAAAGTTATGAACAGAATCAGTGACAAAGGGCATCCTTGGCGGAGTCCAACTCTCACTGGGAATAAGTCAGATAATCATATAGGGACCAAACGGCTCGCATCAAAGAGCCTGGTACCCCATACTCCTGAAGTACCTCCTACAGGGCCTTCTGAGGGATACGGTTGAACGCCATCTCCAGATCCACAAAACACATGTAGCTTGGTTGGGTAAACTCCCACACACCCTGCACGACCCCCCTAAGGGTATAGAGCTGATCTCAATTGTTCCTCCTGAATCTGACGTTCATCCAACGACCACAGCTCCAATCGGCCTACTCAACAATGGAGGCCCGGAACATGGCCCACTTGCAGTCAGTGTTCTCCAGTTCCTCCATGTCTGACTGGCATCCTCTCCCACCATCAAAGTCAACTCTCTACCAGGTAGTGGTCAGTTGACAGCTCTGCCCCTCTCTTTACTCGAGTGTCCAAGACATGCGGCGGCAGATCAGATAAGACAACAACAAAGTTGATCATCAAGCTGTGGCCTAAGGTATCATGGTGCCAAGAGCAGATATAGACAACTTTATGGCTGAACACAGTGTTCATTAGGACAAGCAGGGAAGTCCAATAACAAAACACAGCTCAAATTCAGATCAGGGGCGCCGTTCCTTCCAATCACACTCTTCCAGGTCTCACCGTGGTTTCCCATGAACATTGAAGCCCCCCAGCAGAAAGAGGAAATCAACGGAAAGAGCACTTTCCTGCACCCCTTCCAAGAACTCCAGAAGCTGGTGCCCTAGGCCTATGCCAAGAGCTGACTCTGACTTATCAACTATGTTTTTACACCCTGCAGTACATTACTAAAAATCTGCACCTTGATTTCATTCCTCAGGAGTGTCTGAGACTGAATTCTTGTCCTACAAGGGGACGTTTAGTGACGAACATACTGGGAAGCTGGATACAGAGACCGGTCCTATCCATGTCAAACTGGAAGGACTGGGTATGACTAAGCTCCAGTCCTGTTTTGGAAAGCTAAGGAAGGAGGAGCTAGAAGTGAAGAACCTCCTGAAAGGCTCCAATAACAGGTGATCTGCAACTCTTTCAGTTTGTAGCCAGTCAGTAGAAAATGACAGTATTACAAATACCACTTATGAATTTTATTAGGCTCCACCTCGTTGCACGGAACCTTGTACCAAAATCTGTGTCCCTGCATCAGGCTAGTGAACATGCAGCACATTCTGGTGCAGCAGATAGAGAAACGGGCCGAAGTCCTGGTGGTGGTGAAAGAAAGGATCCTCACCACCAACTCCTGCTCCGTCATGTTCACAAGAAAGCAGCAGTGCACCTTCCAGGGGGTACTCAGGCTGCTGGGTCTGCTGGGGACCTCCATAAAGGTTTGTCTTTTGGGTTTTTGCAGACAGAAACACAGGTCTAAAAAACTATGATAAGGATTAGGGATGCATGATTTATTGACATCCATGTTGGTGTCAGCTGATGCGAGTCATTTTTAACATATTGGTCCAATAAGTACAAGTGCTGGTCATAAAATTAGAATATCATGACAAAGTTTCTTTATTTCAGTAGTTCAATTCAAAAAGTGAAACTTGTGTATTAGATTAATTCATTACACACAGCCTGAAATACTTCAAATGTTTATTTCTTGGAGAAAACGCAAATCTTCACTTTGGCCGAAGTTTTTAAAAAGATTCATTTTCGTTGCATAAATCTGCATTTTTGTGTGAATGACAGGCTGAATCATAGAAAAATATCTTCGTTTTGGGAGATACCCGGCTACACGTGGACAGGGCCGCAGTCCAGTTCTGTAGGCTACACATTCATGGGGAAGACTGCTAACTTTGACAGTTGTCTAAAAGTTGACCATTGACACCTTGCACAAGGAGGGCATGACACAAAAGTCACTGCTAAAGAGGCTGGCTGTTCACAGAGCTCTGTGTTCAAGAACAATGTATATATATCAAGAGAAGAGATGAAGCATTTGTAAATGCATTAACCCTCCCACTGTCCTAATGTGTGTGACCCCGTGAGGAAAGTTGACCATTGAGCAGGGTTGATGGTTTATTCCTTGGGTCCATGTGGCAGGGGTGAGGAGTGAGCACCACCTCGCCCCTGCCACCTGGACCTCAAGGGATAAACCATCAACCCTGCTCAATGGTCACCTTTCCTCACGGGGTCACACCCATTAGGACAGTGGGAGGGTTAAGACTGTTTTCTTCACCTGTTCGGTTTTGGCGAGGTGTGCTGGCGGCAGCAGAAGTATCCGGGATGCAGTCCATTCTGTTTCTAAATAAACAAATACGATTCGGAACAGAAAAGATGCGTAAATCAAGCAAGGGGTGTAGCTCACCAAGCACTGACGTCACATTTGTGTCATAGGAACCACAGAAAGTCCCAGTCTCAGAGAGTAGGAGCTAAAATGGTTCTAGGAACTACGGGAAAAAGTTCCTAGTTCCTATCTGTCTGAACGTGCGCAAAAGGGGGCTGGTTCCCAAAAAGGTTCTAGGAACTACAAAAGGTTCCAAGAACTACAAAAGTTTCCTACAGTCGGAAAGGGCCTATTAGTAGAGAGGAGAAGGGAAGGACAAGATGTGGTAGAAAAGTGTACAACAATAGCGATAACTACACCTTGGAGAGGATTGTAAAACAAAACCCATTCAGAAATGTAGGGGAGGTTCACAAGGAGTGGACTGCAGCTAGAGTCAGAGCTTCATGAACCATCACACACAGTCAAATGCAAGACAGGTGTTAGCTGTCACATTCCTCTTGAACATCAGAAGCACCACCTGGACTAAAGACCAAAGGACTGGACTGCTGCTGAGTGGTCCAAACTTATGTTCTCTGATGAAAGTAAATTCATTTTCTTTGCAAACCAAGGTCCCAGAGTCTGGAGGAAGAGAGGAGAAGCACAGAATCCACGTTGCTTGCGGTTCTGCGTAAAGTTTCCAGTCAGTGATGGTTTGGGCAGCCTTGTCTGCTGGTGTTGGTCCATTGTGTTTTCTGAGGTCAAAGGTCAACGCAGCAGTCTACCAGGAAGTTTTAGAGCACTTCATGATTCCAACTGCTGACCAACTTTATGGAGAGGAAGATTTCATTTTCCAACAGGACTTGGCACCTGCACACAATGCCAAAGCTACCAGTACCTGGTTTAAGGACCATGGTATCCCTGTTCTTGATTGGCCAGAAAACTCACCTGCTCTTGACCCCACAGAACATCTGTGGGGTAGTGTGAAGAGGAAGATGCAACACGCCAGATCCAACGATTCAGACGAGCTGAAGACCACCATCAGAGCAACATGGGCTCTCATAACACTTGAGCAGTGCCACAGACTGATGGACTCCATGCCACGCCACATTGCTGCAGTAATCCAGACCAAAGGAGCCCCAATTAGATATTGGTGCTGTATATGCTCATACTTTTCATGTTCATGCTTTTCAGTGGGTCTAACATTCGTAAAATTCCTTTTCTGCATTGGTCCAAATTGATTTTCTAATATTCTGAGATACTGAATTTGGGATTGTCATTTGTCAGTTATAATCATCAACATTAAAAGAAATAAACATTTGAAATATACCAGTCTGTGTGTGATGAATGAATCTAATATACAAATGGTAAATGGCCTGTATTTGATATAGCACCTTCTAGAGTCCTGGAACCCCCCAAGGCGCTTTACAACACAATCAGTCCCATTCACACACACAGTCATACACTGGTGGGGATGAGCTACAATGTAGCCACAGCTGCCCTGGGGCACACTGACAGAGGCAAGACTGCCGAGCACTGGCGCCACCGGTCCCTCCGACCACCATCAGCAGGCAATGTGGGTAAAGTGTCTTGCCCAATGACACAACGACAGTGACAGACTGAGCAGGGCTCGAACCTGCAACCTTCCGATTACGGGGCGAGCACTTAACTCCTGTGCCACCGTCGCCCGCAAGTTTCACTTTTTGAATGGAATCATTTAAATAAATCAACTTTGTCATCATATTCTACTTTTAAGACCAGGACCTGTATTACCAACCAGTGTTTAGGTTTATTCTGATGTGGTGAGTGTTTCTGTAAGGGGGAGGGGACGGGGTTGGTCATGTGACCAGTGATAGTAATGCAGCTCAGGATTGTGGGGGTGTATACCTGAGGCAGAGGTCACTTTTACACATTGTCAATAGTCAAGGAATTATATGTAATATTGATAAATAAGGGCTATTGCAAAGACAGCAGTATTAACACTGGATATCAATATCAACCGTAATGTGCACATTGGTGCATTCCTACTAATAACGATAATTTATTACCTGGTGTGTGTGTGTGTGTGTGTGTGTGTGTGTGTGTGTGTGTGTGTGTGTGTGTGTGTGTGTGTGTGTGTGTGTGTGTGTGTGTATGTGTGTGTGTAGATCTGTGGTAAGGACGTAAACAGCTTCGAGGCGGACAGTGATGTTTCTTTGGAGATTCCTTCTGGAACCGTGATTGCTTACAGCGTCCTGGAGCTGGAGATTAAAACAACTGGCCACTTCAGTGAGGGTTTCAGTGTGTCAGCGTGTGTGTGTCTGTGTGGAAAGTGAAGCTTGTTTTATGTGTTATTTGGGTTTTTCTGGGGCTTCCCCGTCTTTCTGCAACGTTTGTGTTTTAATAACTTCTGTTTTGCTCTTGGGTTTTGTGAGGGAGCCACATTTGTTTATATTTGTAATTACACCATATACACCACCTGGCCTTAAAAACCATTATCTCACTAGTAAAACATCTGATCTGGTGGGAAGCTTTGTGCATGGTGCATTTGCTAATTTATTTGTAATTGTGGTAAACGTGAGTTGTAAAAACAGCTGAAACTGCTCTTTCCTGTTTGATTTAATCATTATTGTTGCTCCGATTTGTGTTGAAAGTCACCTGGAGTCATGCTTGTGCGTATTTTCAGATATTTGCCTGCAGCCTGGAACTATCGGAGGCTTTGAGAGCGACTCGGTCTCTACATCCGAGTCACCAGATCCCTCTGTGACTGTGGTGGATGGTAAAATCAACGACCACGAGGCTCTGGGGGACATGCTCTCTAGCAGCCATCAGAACGGTGTGTGACCTCATTAACGTGCTCTGTTTTCCATTCATGTGAAGGAAGAGAGGCAGAGGTTCTCCTTCCATGAAAAGGATCCACTTTTTAGGCACAGAGAGCTTGTCGTGAACAGATTCTGGTGTCTAACAGGATCACAGGAGCTGGAGCTTGCTCCTCTGGCGGCGCTGCCTCAGGCGACCAGATACGCCTTGTTCAGGAAGCTCCAGGAGACTCTGAGCGACAGATCTGCTCTGGGATGTATTCAGTGTGTGGTGAGTTCAGCTCTAATTGTGCCATCCGCTACAAATTGGGACAAGCAATCACGCAACTGCTGAATTCCTTCAAAATCAGCACACCAGAGCAACAATCTACCCCTTCTCCTGTGTGTCTGTCAGCTGGAGGAGATGTGCTGCAGCAAAACAGTTTTAAAGACCGTTATCGACACACAGCTGCAGGTTCCTGGAAGTTCCTTCAACCTGACTGATGTGGAATTAGACAGTCTGACTGGATCTGGTCAGAGTGACGTTCCTGCTCACCTTGGTGCAGCTCACCTGTTGGTCAGCGCCATGGAAGGTGAGAGAAAATACAGACAGAAGCAAGCTGGAGACATTTTTATGTTTTTGAATAAAACATGATTTCTGTTGCGTTCCTGATTTAAAGGAAAACTTCACAGTTTAGCCTTGCTTTTGGCTCCCCCTAGAGTCTGTTTTAATTCACTGTCGTAAAACTGAAACTCTCCTCTTCGCTGTGCGTTTGTGTTTTTAACACCTTAACAGCTGAAACGTCTCCTCGGCCTTCATTAGTGTCTACAAGAGCAGTTCATCACCAAACCAAGCAAATCAGCCGTGTTCATGATGGAAAACATGGAGGAAACGTGTTTCTGAGCTCTCCTGATCTTGTTTGACTACTATTGTGGTCGGACGCTCTTTTAAATTTTTTAGCTTCATCGGATAAGTGTTGAGGCTCCTCCATGATAAACACGTTACAATAACTGCTAACCAGGCATAGCTCGTCTGTCCTGAGGTGTCAACATGGATTGCCGTAAAACGTGACTTTGTGAGACTTCAGAGGAGCGCTCCAGAGAGTCTGAAGTTGCAAATGGGGGCTGGGAGGCCTTTCGTTGACCCTAAAGGGTGGTTTTAGCCCATGCTGGCTCAAGATAATGATTTAGAAAATAAAAAAAGTAGTGTAGTGTGGCTTTAAATGTCTGATCTTGTTCTGTTTCTGTGTTTTTCTAGAGCTGCCTGATGAAACTTTGAGCATTCTGAGTGAGAGTCGACCCGACTTTCTGGCAGCGTTTGACACTCTGGTATGTTAACGTGTTTTATTTGTTACATGAACCACTTTGTCAGGCTTTTTTGGGTCAAACCTGCCTGTTAGAAATGTGTTAAAGAACAGTTCTTGGGAGATTGTGGTTCTTTGGGAAAGTCAAACTCAAAGTCTGGTAGCTTTGTGAGAAATGAGCAGCCATCTTATTTGTAGCTCCCAGGGTCTGAATCCTGCCTAGTTAAACAAAACTGTCCCTTCAGTCCCTCCTGATGTGACATGATTAACGTATCTTCTGTATCTAAACAGATGAGCCAGGTGAAGGAGAGCAGGGAGCCTTCGTCCGTTCAATCTCTTCCCGCCCAGCTGCAGGACATCCAGCTCTTGCAGCAGGCGGAGCAGCTGCTCGGCTCTATCGGAGCGATGCTGAGGAGGGATGCTGACCGGGTGTGGGTGGAGGCGGGTAACGCTGATGGAGTCCTCCTTCTGGTCCTTGGTCTCGGTGTGCGTGGTTTATCTCTGCTGTGCACCGGGCTGCTTTAGCTGGTGCCCTCTACTCCCATTGTTACGGCTCTCCCACTCATGACGTTTTACAGCGTGGTACTGTAGTATTGTTACTACTGTAATATGATTGTCAAATATGTGTTTTATTTTGAAGTAAATAATGCATTGATTCTTTGGAAAACCCGACTGAGCTGATATAGAAGTCCTGATGGTGTGAGTGGATCATGTTTCTCGGTCAGAGATCAGCTGATCCTCCAGAGCTGATCGACCCCCAACCCTGGTGACTGGTTATGGCACCTTTAGTGGTAACCAGTAGGAATGAGTCTCTCACATCACTGGGAGGAGGTTTGGCCCACCCTTCCTTACAGAATAGCTTTTATTCAGTCATATTGGATGGTTTTCTAACATGAAGGGCCTTTTTAAGGTCAAAGGTCAGATGTTCTCTTTCGTGATGTTCTGCTAGAGAGCAAACTTGGTGGTTCCATGGTCCAGGTCCTGAAGCAGCAGAGCAGCCCTGTCTGACTGTTGCTATGGTGATGACTCCAGATGGAAGGGGACACCCAGCCCCTGATGTTCCTGCTTTGGTCTCATCAGTCAGGGTCAGCTCCCTCATTTCTCTCTTATTTTTGACCTCTGACCTCTGTGCCTTAGATGTTATGGATTCATTATTTCTTGAATTTCATTAGAATGAGGCCTGATGTGCTGCTTTTTGAGATTGTCGAGCCGCTTTTATGTTGATTTCTGCCGTGATTAAACAAGGGGGGTTAGCAGTTATGCTTCTGACCTTTCAAACTTAGACCATCATCTGAAAACAGCCTTTTGTTTTACTCACGTTATCTTTGTCTGACATTCTTCTGAAACATTTAAGCTGGACCTCACAAAGCAAGAGCTGAAGAACTCCTTTTTCACAGTTTCATCCCTCTGACCCTCATCAGTCTTAACGGTGACTCAGCTAAAAGCTGCTGTGGTTTTAAGCTCCAGATTTCTGTCTTGGTTTTATTGTAAAGTCTAGTCTTTGTAAACACCAAGCATCATGTGATATATGGAAAACTATTTATGTTTTATTTTGCCAGATTGGTTAAAAGATATCTATTTTATTTTTTATAAATAAAGCTTTATATTATTAACATTCCCATTATTTAGTAAATCCAGGCCAGTGTTTGGATCAGGTCGCTGGTTTATTTTTATATAGATTATGATTTTAGATTTGTTTGATGTGTTTTAGGGAGTTTTGGCAAGATGTTTCTTTTTATGGTTCTTTCATCCAAGATCTGTTTAAAATGGTTTTATGGAACTTTTCTTGAATTTTCTTGAATGTTTATTGAAGTTTAGGAAAACTGACGGTGGAAGGATGCGTTAGGATATCCTGAATTTTCATTGGGTGTCAATTTGAGGAAGAGGAAGACCTTTGGCAGAAGCAATGGTCCGAATCTAAACCACCAGTAGAGATTATGATGTGTCAATGATATAAAAATGTTGTTATTTTAAGAGTCTGAACCTTTATTCTTGTTTTAATGTGTACTAAAATCAGACCATTTAGTGTTTTTGCTCCTTCTGTAAATTTCTTCTTGTTTTTTTAATGAAACTTAATCAGACTTTTTCCTGTTTGCAGACCATAAATATATTTTGTTTCTTCTAAACTTTTCCGCATTTGTTTTGACTAATGGCGCCTTTACCTGTAAAAGTTTAATCACAGCGGGTTAAACTTAAGAATTGGACTTTTTCATCACAGAAGTGAAATCTTTTTTAAGATGAAGCTTTGAGAAACTGTGAATAATTTTTGTTGATGCAGAAATATCTTAAATGGATTTTAACACGTTTTTGTGTTGAATAACCATAATAATAATATATTTTATTTGAAGCCCCTTTCAAAAACTCAAGGTAACTGCACAATCAGGGTAAAATAAAACATTCAACCACTAGAAAATTTAAAGCCCAAATAAAACATCAGATAAAACCAATAACAGTTACAGTGGCTAAGCAATTCTGAACAGATGAGCTTTTAGATCAGTCATGAATTAGAGAAGGCTAATGTTAGGCATTTTAATGTATTGTTGTCTTAAATGTTCCTTTTGAAGTAATCATATGTTAATTTTATGATTGTGAAGTAAGCCGCAGGGCTTTCTCCTTCTTCCTCTTGGCTCTGGAATGCGGCTGATAAGCCTGATGTTTGTCTGTATGGGGGTTGGGGAATAGCCTGCCTAACAGGTATCCATGGTTACTGAGTTTCTGGCTGTCTGTCATAAATTAAGACTTCCTTTCTGGAATGTCCCGCCTTAGCCTAAAAGCAACACTGTAATTGGCGAAGTGTAGACAGTGATGGATTGTTCTTTGTCTCTTTTCCCCTGTGTTTCAATAAAACCAGCTGTGGTGCAGAGGGGAGGCCAGAGTTGATCGGACATGGGCCTTTGCAGGCTCTTGGCCGGTTGCTCTCGCAGCGTAAAAAACCTACTGACCCTTTTCTCCTGTGTGGTTCATTTCAGGATATAAAAATACCCAACAGCTAGCCATGGTCCTAAGGTGAGCAACCATTATCCTACCAGTTGCTGATAGTTTCCTGAGCAGCCTCAGTGAGTAGAAATAGAGTAGCACAATCAAGTTCCACCTGCCTTCTTAAAGGGATCTATGCAACTTTTCCATATGTCATTTTTATGAGACACTGTGCTAAAGTGACCCTTTACAGTGTTATTGAAATGTCACTCAGACCCCCACCGCCCTATGTGGCCAGAATATGGCATTTGCAACTTCAGAGTGCCGGTCCGGTCTGTCGGTCTTAGAAAAAATGAAGCTGACACACCTGGTGTTGTAGTCTGCTTCCAGCACATTTCCTGCATGTTTTAGATCATGATCACAGCTGATTTGTTTAATTCAGTGATGAATCACTCCTGTAGGCACTATTGAAGGCTGGGGAGACATTCCAGCTGTTAGATTAAAGGGACAATTAGTAATTTTTTCATATTTTTAAATCCTTTTCTTGAGCCAGTGTGCGATAAAATGACCCTTTACAGGGTTAATGAAAGGCCACCCCGCCCTTATCGACCCTGTGGCCAGAATATCGCACTTGCACCGTCAGAGTTCGGTCTGGTCTGCTGGGACTTAGAAAAATGGAGTTGACCTATCTAACGCTGCTGTATGGCTGTCCTGCATGTTTTAGAACATGAACACAGCTGATTAGTTTAATTTAGTGATGAATCACTCCTCTAGACACGTAGGAACGCTGAGAGACATTTCAGCTGTTAGATTAAGGTGTTACAAAGACTTACCCTGGTTTCACACTGAAAGCATCAATGGCGCGAAACATCACTGCTTCAAATAGAATCCATTATAGTCTATGAACTGTTTCAAATTTACAAGTGTGTCCCAGAGGCGGCACGCCGCACCACACCGCTGCAGGTAGAATCGGGTTGTATTTTTGCTGCGTGCCGCTTCTGGGACACATCAATGTCTGCAGTTAACATAGGCTAGACAGGAAATCACACACTGTGTCAGTGTTAAAACCCCCCGTAAATTTTCAAAATAAAAGTACTGCAGCGATGCAATTTCCTATACCTGTATATGAAGCTTACGTGTGACCTAACGACTTATTTGCTCCCAGCATCGTTCCAGAAGAGCAGCAGTGTTTTTTTCATGGCTTTATTCCTGGCAGTGGAGTGGAACAACATCATAGGACATCAAACAGCAATATCAAATGTGATTTCCTTCTTTTTGGTTTAATGGCGTATTGCATAAACAAACTGTGACCTGGAGGGATCTTGTGATTTTGCGAGACTATGGAAGAGCACAGATAGGACGCTGTGCTGCTGCCAAGAATCTCCCGGTGTGAAAAGGACCTCTTTGAAGTTTGTGAGTAAACCGTTCCACTACCGTGTCGCCCCTCTGACGCTTCCAGTGTGAAACCGGCATAACTCACAGCAAGGACATGGTTCCCTTCTACAAACGGACACTAGGGGGTGCTAAAATCTAGCAAAACTGCTTAGCATCCCTTTAAGGCATTAAAAAGAGGAGCGCACAGCTAGGAGATAAGTTTTGCTTTCATTTCTACTAAACAGACACTAGGGGGTGCTAAAATCAAATCAAAATGGCCTTTCTCCTTAGTTTAAAATAACACTCATCACCAAAGTTCCATCACAGTTCAAGAGAATACTATGTAATAAACATTTGTACCACCAGTAGTTTTACATATGTGTGTATTCTAGTGAAAACCTGAAGGAATTCCTGTAGGACTTGACCCTTGGATGCACTTAGAGTGGAAAGAAGGAGCCCACATTACAAAAATTCAGTCCCTTGCCTCCATCAGTCCATCTCTGTTGACTATGATCAACAGCTCACTGAGCCAAGGCTGTGTTTCATCTTACTTTAAAAATGCAGTAGTGACTCCTCTCTTAAAGAAACCCAACCTTGACGCCAGCTCCACCAGTAACTTTAGGCCCATTTCTAAGCTACCTTTCATCAGTAAAGTACTTGAGAAGGTTGTGGAAACCCAACTCAGATCCTGGTTTTTCAAGTCAAAGATCTCTGACCCCTTCCAGTCTGGCTTTCTGAAGCAGCACTCAACCGAGACTGCTCTAGTAAGGGTGCATAATGACCTCCTGATGGCTGCTGATGCTGGGAAATGCTTTGTCATGGTCCTGCTTGACCTCAGTGCAGCTTTTGACACTGTAGACCACAACGTACTACTAAACATGTTAAATGCCCTGGCTGGGATTTCAGGTTCTGCTCTAGACTGGCTCTCTTCCTATCTCACTAACAGAACATTCACAGTGAAGTCAGAAACCTTCTCTTCAGACACTGCCTGTCTGACATGCGGGGTTCCACAAGGTTCAGTTCTAGGGCCTCTACTATTCGCATTCTATATTCTTCCTCTAGCTGGCATCATTCAATCTTTCCCAGACATCTCCTACCACATCTACGCTGATGATATTCAGCTCTATATGTCCTTTATGCCACACCAGTTGGACAAGCTGGCCACACTTGTACTCTGCCTGACCCAGATCAGTAACTGGCTGTCCAGCAACTTTCTTGACCTAAATGTTAACAAGACAGAGACCCTGATCGCTGCACCCCCGGAACTTCAGCCAAAAATCGAGCAAGAAATTGCCTCTTTTTGCCCATCAGCCAAGGCCAACATTAGAAACCCAGGAGTTATTTTTGATCCAGCTTTAAGTTTAGACTCACACGTCAAAACCATCTCCCGCTCTTGTTTCTTTCAACTGAGAAACATTTCAAAAGTCCGTAAACTGGTTTCTACTGCAGATCTGGAAAAAATCATCTATGCCTTTGTGTCATCACGCTTAGACTACTGTAACGCTCTTTTTACTGGTCTCAGCAAAACCTCCCTCTCACGCCTTCAAGCCATCCAAAATGCAGCAGCCAGACTCCTAAGCAAATCCAGCAGACGAGCTCACATCACTCCAGTTTTACAGTCCCTCCACTGACTCCCGGTAGAATACAGTTTAAAGTTTTAGTCCTGACCTATTGAGCTCTTAACAACCAGGCTCCAAGCTATTTATCTGAGCTTTTATCCCCACTCACCATTTCACGGAACCTCCGATCCACATCTGAAAACCTCCTGGCTGTTCCTCGAACCAGACTAAAAACCAAAGGGGACAGGGCCTTTCAGTCTATTGCCCCCAGACTTTGGAACAGTCTGCCTTCAAATCTCTGTCTCTTGAAATCTGTAGAGGTCTTCAAAAAACATCTTAAAACTCACCTTTTCATCCAGGCGTTCCCCCGCTAAATATTCTAAAAGATGGCTTTGTTCTTGTTCACACTTTGACTTTGTTTTTACTCCTGATTTTGATACTATTGTTGTCACTGCTATTGTTTTTCTGATGTTTTTATTGGTTTGAGGTATTTGCCCTGATTTTACTCATGTTGTACAGCGCTTTGTGATTTATATCTGTGAAAGGAGCTATATAAATAAACTTTACTTACTTACTTACAAAACTGGTTTATTTACATTTACCACCAGCAGCTAAATGTAGCACTTATCAGAAATAAATACTAAACTACTAATATTATTTTTACATTAAAATTATAATATTATCACTAATTAAAAAGGAAAAAAAGATGAGCCTTTGTTCCCTAACCCCCTCCCACTAGAAGAAACTCGACACGTCTCAACCATAGATATGTATATAAAATAAAGTATTTATTATTTATTTATTTATTTATTTTTAAATCGGGTTATTAATCAACAAAACATGGCACATTACAATATTCCATTCTTAACTGGAAATACAAGCAGACAAGATAAATAAAATGAGGAAAAGTAAATAAATAATAAACAAACATAATATAAATAAAATGCAAATTGAGTGAAATAGTCAAAATGAAAGTAAAACAACTGATAAAGTGCAAAACATCATTCAATAAATTTGCTAGGGTTTAGCATTTAGTTTGTATTTCTTCACAGAGTCATTCATAGTGTAGGCTTTGGAGCCTTTCATGAATTTCAAAGAGAAGTGATATACTAATTCTTTACGAAATGCAATGAAATTAGGGCAGGTTTTAGCATAACAACATTTGTGTATGTAAAAATTTCCAAGGATAATTATAACATTTAAAGCAATATAAATATTGTGCTTGGCTGTAAAACAACATATTAATATGTTTTCTTTAGAAAGTTTTGGTGGATTAGCCTCAAAGCCAACCAATTCTCTAATTCACTCTTTACAAATTCAGTCAGTGGTTTCTATGTCTGCATTACAAAATGAGCAGCCATTATGTTCCAAGTTAAATCGATGTCTCAAAAGCTCTCCAGATGGATAAACGCAATTAATAATTTTAAACTGCATCTCTTTTATCTTTGGATCAACTGGAAGCTTGAGAAAAAAAAGACTCCTTGCTTTTTTTCCACTTTCATAAGATTATAGGTGAGAAGCTGTTGGCTAAGAATGGATGCAGCTCTTGAATAAATAACTGTCTTATTACAATATTGGATAACATTTTGTCGGTAAAAGAACATCCATTAAGCATAAGTTCAGGGAGTTTTGGACTAATGTTATTGTGATGAAAATTGGAGGAGCTTGACAAGACAGGACTCAGAATTGCTTTAATAACCTTCTGATATTGTTCTTTGACAGTCAACTTGAATTTGGAGCTAAATGGTTCATGAGACAACAGATTTCCAGAGTAAATATGTATATACAGGTGCTGGCCAGTAAATTAGAATATCATCAAAAGGTTGAAAATATTTCAGTAATTCCATTCAAAACGTGAAACTTGTACATTATATTCATGCAATGCACACAGACCAATGTATTTCCAATGTTTATTACGTTTAATTTTGATATTTATAGGTGACAACCAATGAAAACATCAAATCTGGTATCTCAGAAAATTAGAATATTCTAAAGGCCAATGAAAAAATGTTTGTTTCTCTAATGTTGGCCAACTGAAAAGAATGAACATGAAAAGAATGTGCATGTATAGCACTCAATACTTAGTCGGGGCTCCTTTTGCCTCAATAACTGCAGTAATGCGGCGTGGCATGGACTCGATCAGTCTGTGGCACTGCTCAGGTGTTATGAGAGCCCAGGTTGCTCTGATAGTCGTCTTCAGCTCCTCTGCATTGTTGGGTCTAGCGTATTGCATCCTCCGCTTCACAATACCCCATAGATTTTCTATGGGGTTAAGGTCAGGCGAGTTTGCTGGCCAATCAAGGACAGGGATACCATGGTCCTTGAACCAGGTGCTGGTGGTTTTGGCACTGTGTGCAGGTGCCAAGTCCTGTTGAAAGGTGAAGTCTGCATCCCCATAAAGTTGGTCAGCAGCAGGAAGCATGAAGTGCTCTAAAACTTCCTGGTAGACGGCTGCATTGACCCTGGACCTCAGGAAACAGAGTGGGCCAACACCGGCAGATGACATGGCACCCCACACCATCACTGACGGTGGAAACTTTACACTGGACCTCATGCAACGTGGATTCTGTGCTTCTCCGCTCTTCCTCCAGACTCTGGGTCCTTGATTTCCAAAGGAAATGCAGAACTTGCTTTCATCAGAAAACATAACTTTGGACCACTCAGCATCAGTCCAGTCCTTTTTGTCCTTGGCCCAGGCGAGACGCTTCTTGCGCTGTTTCTTGTTCAAGAGTGGCTTGACACACGGAATGCGACACCTGAATCCCATGTCTTTCATGAGTCTCCTCGTGGTGGTTCTTGAAGCGCTGACTCCAGCTGCAGTCCACTCTTTGTGGATCTCCCCCACATTTTTGAATGGGTTTGTCGTCACAATTCTCTGCAGGGTGCGGTTATCCCTAGAGCTTGTACACTTTTTTCTACCACATTTTTTCCGTCCCTTCGCCTGTCTGTTAATGTGCTTGGACACAGAGCTCTGCGAACAGCCATCTTCTTTAGCAATCACCTTTTGTGTCTTGCCCTCCTTGTGCAAGGTGTCAATGATTGTCTTTTGGACAGCTGTTAAGTCAGAAGTCTTCCCCATGATTGTGGTGCCTTCAAAACAAGACTGAGGGACCTTTTAAAGGCCTTTGCAGGTGTTTTGAGTAAATCAGCTGATTAGAGTGGCAGCAGGTGTCTTCTATATTCAGCCTTTTCAGAATATTCTAATTTTTTGAGATACCGAATTTGGAGTTTTCATTAGTTGTCACTTATGAATATCAAATTTAAATGTAATGAACATTGGAAATACATTGGTCTGTGTGCATTGCATGAATATAATGTACAAGTTTCACGTTTTGAATGGAATTACTGAAATATTTTCAACCTTTTGATGATATTCTAATTTACTGGCCAGCACCTGTAAACACTGTCAACCACGTCTCAACAAAATTGACCATGTGGGGTCGCTGTCGCCAAAAAGATGACGTTTCCAATACGTCATCGGTTTGCGACTTGGAGTATAAAGACGGAAAAAGTTTTCGTAAACATCAAGCCGTTTGGGGCATTTTGCCCACATTTTACACTCTTTTCACACTAATCCTGGTTCAGAATGGTCGTGTGTAACTTTTTCCTTCAGGGCCGGTGTCGTTATGGGGAGAAGTGTTGGAATGAGCACCCCAGAGGCGGAAACAGAGGAGGTTATAACGACAATTACAACCGCGCTCCTGACCAGCAACAGTCCAGACGACAAGGAGGAGGTAATTCTGTTTCACAGGCAACACTTTAAACCCCTTCATCACTTACAAGTGTTCAGTCGTGGTCCACACGTTTGTTTTTCCTTTCTACGTCACGCTGCTCTGTGACGTTTCACCTTGACCAGAAGCAAATGAAGGGAAAGGACTGGTCCAGACTTTGCTGTGGGTTGAATCAGATTTCCTTTTTAACTCTATTTTTGTGCACATTTTATAAACTCTTCTTCTTACTCCAGAGGAACGTTCTGGATAATATTCCTCAGCCTGACTTGTTGCTGACAGTTGCTCAGACACGTTGATCTGGAACAGTTTGTCTTGGAGGAGGTCTGGCAGGACTGTATTGAAGGCAGAGCTGAAGTCCATGAACAGGATCCTGGCGTAGGTACCCGGGAAATCCATATGCTGCAGGATGAAGTGTAGAGCCATGCAGATGACATCATCTAGACCTGTTGGCTCTGCAGGCAAACTACAGGGAGTCCAGGAGGATGTTAAAATGTAAAAACCGTGAAATCAATACTAGCTGAAGTCTTGGATTTTAAAGGACCACCTGCTTCTGTCCTTTAGTACATTTTCTTACCCTCACAGTCTTAGAAACATGAAAACAATCACATTAAAGTTAATTTTAACCTGTTCAGCACTTTGGTCATCTAATAAAGGGAATCGGTAAGAAAGCTTTAGATTTCACAGCCACTAATTTCTTTCTGTATGCTGGTTCCAGGGTTTGGAAACAAAGTTTGGGTGAATCCTTCCCAACAACGAGGCGGCTACATCCAGCCTTCATCCTTCTCCCAGGAAAGGGATGACTGGGGTTTTCGGGGAGGAGGGGGGAGAAGAGAGAACCCGAAGAGCTCTGAATTCTCATTCTCCAATCAAAACCGATTCTCCGCCTTCAATTCTTCAAACACATTTGATAGGGGAGGAAGAGGAGTTGGAGGAGGAAGAGAAGAGGGAGGAGGAGGAAGAGTAGGAGATGAAGATGAGGATAAAAAACTGTGAGATTTTGTTTTTACTTGTTGTGATTTGAAAATCGATTTCTTCTTTGTCCTAAAACCGTGTGAATATTTCCCCCTCATCAGGGAGATGATTCAGACAGACATGGGTGTTTGGGAGAGTTCAAAGCAGTGGGGCTTCTCCTGTTACTCCTGCGCCAAGGCTTCCATATCTGGTCTGTAGCAGTAATGCGTCGCTCCAGCTGTTTTATAACAGCAGGACTGGTTTTAACGTGCATGTTTACGTCTGCAGGGTTCACAGATCTGTCTCCAGAGGAGCTCAGGTTGGAGTATTACACCGCCAGAGCCTCAGGGGATCTGCAGAGCTACGTGAGGAGAAATCCACTCACTGTTAATGCTTGTTGTTTGTTTTGATGCAAAAACATGGATTTTACACATTTATCTGTAATCTCCTGCTCTGTGTGTTTAGCTTAACGGCGTCAATCAGCTGCTGAGTCAGTGGAAGAGCCGAGTCCAGGAGCTGAAGGTCATGAGTCCCACCACGCGTTTAGCTTTGGTAAGACGCCGCTCTAACGCTCGCATGTCTGTTTACAGTCACCATTTGTGGTTTAATATTTATAATTTACATTTGTCTGCAGCTTGCAGAGTTGAATGGGAGCGCTCCTCAGCCGTCCTCCAGCGGCTTCGGTTCTGCAACATCGACCGGGTTCGGCTTTCCCACGTCCAGCTTTGAAAACAAAGGTTTGACTTTTCTGTTGGAGCTTTTCTTAAACGTGTGTTTCCTTAAAAAAAAAAAAGTTCAGATCATCACCCACAACTCTCAACCTCGCCATCAAAACCAGTGTTTAGATGTAAGTTTGAGAACTGACATGAAGTGGCTGATTTCTAGCTTCAGGCACTCTTTTAATCTGGATTAAAATCAAGAACTATAGGATTTTCTAATAAAATGAAAAATAATAAGATGCTGAAAGAATCTCCTGTTGGTTTATGAATGTAAAACCAAAGGTAGGCCGGTTGGTGATGGCCTCACGACTCCTCTTATTATTATTATTAATACATTTTATTTAAAAGCACAAAGAGGCAGCTCGCGGGCCATGTGCGGCCCATTGAGGACCACTGTTTTACCAGCTGGTTGTTTCTAAGGGGTCTCAGAGCCCTATTGGGTGTTTATACAGGAATGAGATCGGACATGTATTTTGGTCCCATGCCGCTGAGTGATTTGTAAACTAGCAGGAGCACTTTGAAACCTATTCTGTAGTTTACTGGTAACCAGTGTAGGGATCTAAGGACAGGAGTGATGTGCTCCGTTCTCTTAGTTCTTTTAGAGACTTTCTTGTTCGTGAAAAGTTCATCAACTCTGCATCAGCTGAGGTATTCCTTAAATTTGAAGCAGGTAAGCGGTAGTCTAACGCTATTGGTTAGTTCTGGTCGGTGCTCAGTTTCCAATTGTACGGAGCTCTGCGGGGCTGGGGACGTGTTTATCAAAAAAAAAAAGACGTATTGCTTACATTACATCACAGTACGCGATAAGATAAATACTTTTACGGATTTCTGAAAAACCATACATACTTTCTGAAAGTAGAAAACTCCAGAAAGCTACTTAAAGCTGATTCAGTTTTTCTGACTGTGCAGGATTCGATGCCCCGCCCCCCCCTCAGGCCAGCTCCTTCAGCTTTACAACTCCAACCAGCGGCTTTGGCTCCTCGGCTGCTCCCCTGTCATCCTCTACTGGCGTTGGTGGCACTCTGCCAGCTCCCACACAGCCTCCTTCTGGGTTTGGGTCCTCCTCTACACCTTCAGCTTCCACTTTTTCATTTGCCCCCCAGACCACCAACAAGTCTGAGGACTCGTCTGGATTCGGCTCGGCCTCCGGGTTCAGCTTCTCCGCGGCAAACGCTGGAGGAGGATTTGGAGAGCATCCAGCTGCAGGAGGCAGCAGCAGCGGGGGTTTTGGGGCACCGGCACCTGAAGCCGGGTCCGCCCCCGCCACGCCCTCAGACAGCCTGTTCTCACCTGAGAGCAATCTCACTGAAGAAGAACTGAATCAGTTTAAGGCAAAGAAGTTCACGTTAGGTCAGATTCCCCTAAAGCCTCCACCAGCTAACATGCTGCTGGTGTGATCCCACCAGATGTGGTTAGTAATGTTTTACAGCAAGGCGGAAAAAAATCAGCTTTTTAAAACATTTTAGACCCAACACACAAAATAAGTCCTATTTTTGAATTCTAAATGACCCGCTATGACGTTTACTCTGTTTGTAGAAAGCGAATGATCTCATCTACAAATGAGTGATGATGTCAGATGTTGAGGACAGGAAATGTCCTGAGCTGTTTTTGGAAGCTTGTACTTGCACATTTGAGTCAGGAGGGGGCGTCATAATCAAAGCCTTAATGCCTGACAAATGCTGGCTTCATTTGAAGCTCTTAAATGTGATGAAATATTAAAGCGACTGAACCTGCTGTCATTCTCTCACTCACTCACTCACTCACACACACACACTCACACACACACACACACACACACACACAGCTTGTAGGCTACCAAACGGTGTGTGATTCAGCTGTTTAGTGTGTTTTTATGAGCTGGACAGCAGGAGCAGCACAGTGACGGGCAGCAGTAAACTCCTTCACCACAGAGGCTGCTGACCCCAGCATCTTTTCCAGCTGACATGGTCTTAGTGACGCTGCTGTGAGGTGAAAGTGAGCCAGGTCCAACTATACCTGGAGCTGGTTACAGAGCATTAGCTGTGAGCAACAGTGTGCAGTTTCTCTCCTCAGTCTGTCAGTAGTTATCCTCCCAGTTGCCCTTTGCCAGCAGATAAAACAAATAATTCAGCAGATTCAAAAGAAACTCGGGAAAAGGCACTCTGGTTTAATTTACAATGCAAGCGCCAGCAAATTGTCGGTCTGCTCGAGTTCTGAGTGGGGAATGGAGAACACGTGAGAGAGGACCATGATGTCTGCACACACAGAAATAAAAAAAACTTTCAGGGTTTTCCTGTTTCTTGTTCATTCTTCCTAATAACTGACCAACATAGTCAGAAATGCATGTTTGCAAATACTTTTTGCTCCTTTTTCATCGCTAGCCACCAAAAAGGGAGAAGAACTGGCAGGGATATTTGTGTGTGTGTGTGTTTGTCATTTTGCAAACAAACCTTATAAACTATTGAGTGAATTTTAAGCAGTGTTTCCAGATTTGTTAGATTTGGGATTGGTACAATTAGCTTTGGGCAGGTTTGGAGTCAATTTGGAAGTTTTAAAGGACACGTGACTTTCTACAACCCATGCTGGATGTGAAGGTCCTGGGCTGGTGGTCTGCGGTTGTGAGGCCGGTTGGATGTACTGCCAAATTATCTGAAACGCCTTTGGAGAGGGCTTATGGTAGAGAAAGGAACATTAATTTCATGGGCAACAGTTATGGTAGACATTCCTGCCATTAGCATGCCAATTGCACGCTCCCTCAAAGGTTTCAACATCTGTGGCATTGTGCTGTTTGATCACACTACACATGTCAGGGTGGTCTTTTATTGTGGGCAGTCTAAGGCACACATGTGTGTTATTTATGCTGTCTGTCAGCCCCTTGATAGGCCACACCTGTGAGGTAGGATGGATTATCTTGGTAAAGGAAAAGTGCCCACCAACGCACGTAGACAGATTTCAGAACAATATTTGAGAGTCATGGGTGTTTTGTACATGTAGAAAAAGTTTCAGATGTTTGAGTTCATCTCATGAAACAAAACAAAAGTGTTGCATTTATATTTTTGTTCAGTGTAAGTAGTATGAATGCATCACATTTATCATTTCAGGTCTGTCACAGTCAGTCCCTGTCTTCCTCAAGTCTTCATCAATGTTAATCTGTTCTGCTGAGCTGTGGTGGCCTCATGGAGGGAGCCATTGGCTTGACCACTGCTGCTAACCACTTAAACTTTCTCCTGTTCCTGATAATAACATTTTACTTTCTTTGACATTGAATGTGCTACTACTAGTTTACCTGTTTCATTATAGATTCACTAGGATAAATACAATAAAGTTTATCTCTCACCAAATAGAATATTTACTAAGAAATCACAATGTAACCATGGAAACATTACTGGGTGTGTGTGTGTGTGTGTGTCTGCTCTGTCTTCTCCGTCCCCATTGAGTCGTGGAGGATGGCTGCTTATACTGAGCCAGGATCCTCTGGAGGTTTCTTCCTGATAAAAGGGAGTTTTCATCTCCACTGTCGCTACATGCTTGCTTAGTATGAGGATTGCTGTAAAGTCACTGACACTAGTCAGTGACTCTAGTCAGTGACTCAATGCAACCTGCTGGGTTCCTGATTGGCTTAAATCAGCTCCAGCAGACAAGCTCACATCACCCCAGTTTTACAGTCCCTCCACTGGCTCCCGGTAGAATATAGAATACAGTTTAAAGTTTTAGTCCTGACCTATAGAGCTCTTAACAACCAGGCTCCAAGCTACCTATCTGAGCTTTTACCCCCACACACCACCTCTCGGAACCTTAGATCCACATCTGAAAACCTCCTGGCTGTTCCTCGAACCAGACTGAAAACCAAAGGGGACAGGGCCTTTCAGACTATTGCACCCAGACTTTGGAACAGTCTACCTTCAAATCTCCGTCTCTCTAACACTGTAGAGGTCTTTAAAAATCATCTAAAAACTCACCTTTTCATCCAGGCATTCCCTCCCTAAATATTCTAAAAGATGGCTTTGTTCGGGTTCACACCTTCACTTTGTTTATACTCATGATTTTATTTTCTGTTTTATCACTGCTATTGCTTTTCTGATGTTTTTACTGGTTAGAGGTATTTGCCCTGATCTTACTCATGTTGTGCAGCGCTTTGTGATTTATATCTGTGAAAGGCGCTATATAAATAAACTTTTACTTACTTACTTAAAGGGACTTTACGGGGTTTTGAATTTTTATGCTCGCGATTGTCCCCTCAGGCCAAAAGCGTAACGGCAGCTTCAATAGTAGGCATGCTCAGATCATTCCCTTCCCTTGCTTGAAAAATTGTTCCAAAATGAAAGTTGAACCCACATCTTTTTTATCTGTGAATTCAATGCCGTTCGGCGAGTCTCAAATAAAAATTTGGGCTTCTTACTGTAAAAAAATACCATTAATGTAATAAAGAAACTCTAAATAAACTATGTTCACACCCAGAATCAAACCCAGGTCTCCTGCACGAGAGTCCAACATTTAACTAGGTGAGCTAAAGCCCAGTGACATCTTTGGCATCTGTAATATTTATATCCTTTATTACAGCTAAGTTCAAAGAACGGTTCGGAGCGAAAATGGCTATTTTGTTGCTAATTTGCAGAAAATATCTAGAAGAAAGTAGCTAAGGGTCCTCAGAAATGTAGCTAGGTTCATCACTAGGCGTTAGGAACAGCGACAAAGTCTCTGAGTTGGCACTGCCTCACTCTCTGCTGCTAAAGCTACGGATAGCAAATGCTACGGGCGATGCCTGAGCGTGAACGCGCATGAAGCAGCCTGCTCGACCCGAGCAACTCTCTTTTTCTGTGATTTTACAGAAAAACAGGCAATCACAGTAAAAATGCCAGGGCTCATTCTTCAGGACCAGGGCATTGCAGGAGAATGTATGAAGAAGACATTTATTATTTCTATAAATGTTTTGGCTGTCAAACTTCCATAATGCCCCTTTAATGAACTGAAATGTAATCGAATGTTTACTGTGTGAAGTGCCTTGAGACGACTCTTGTCGTGATTTGGCGCTATATAAATAAACTTGAATTGAAAAAAAACTTGAATGAAACGCTAGATTATATGAAAGAAAATCGAATAGATTAAACACTATATTAAGCCAATCTTTCGCCAACAATCAAGAAGGCAATGTCTGACTGGATCTATAGATGGTGCTCGGAGGTACTGGGGCTCATGGTCTCCGAAGTCCCAAGGTTTGAGGGACCTCAATTTTAATAACTAGCTTTCTACCAAACTCAAGATGGCTGCCACAGTCTTTACTACAAAAATGTGAGCGCTTTCTCCGATAATCATTCATTTTGGACTCAAGCTGCATGAAGCATGTGTGCACATTGTTCTCCATCCAGTAGATGTTCCAGCTCTAAAAAGATCAACCCCCACCCTCGCGTGCTGACATTTTCACATCAGTTTTTCTCCAAACCTCCTATAGAAACTCATTGAGCTCAGCGCTATTGCATGGCCACTGTGGTCCCTACATCAGCCCATGGAAGAAACAGAGGCTAATAACACTGCTTGAGGCACTTCCTTGCTGAATGCTAATGAAGTGATTGGGATTCAGAGCTAGTGTCATTAATGGGGGCTGATTCCATGCGAGCGTCCTTACCTTTACAGCACAGAACAAGCCTCACTAATTGGAACAATGAATCCTTGGCTGGAATTGATTGTGTTCAGCCAGAACAGTTAGCCTATGGGGAAGTGGTGCATCGATCTCTGGCATGTGATTTATGTTTGTTTGAGCGGTCGCCCTCATAGGTGACTGAGTTTCACATATTTCACCTGGAAAACGCAGGTCTGAACCTGCTTTCTGTCCTTCAGAGCTTTATGGGTTCATATCACGGAGATGGGCAATGAAAACTCACCGTTTGTGAGTCAGAATAAACAAATGATCCATCTGGATTTAGAACAGGCTGGTGAAGTTTAGGTTAGATGATCTTGGGTACACCTTACCACGATCATCTTAGGTTTATTTATTCAGTTCCATCACCATTTTACATTACATTTTTCCTTCACCTCCAGCGCTCCAACCAAGTTTACCAAGTTGTTGCCACCAGGTCTGTTGAATGAACTGTGGCTTTTACAGCGTTCCAGCTCCTCCCTCAGTGAGCTTCAGGACCACAGAAACAGGCAAAATGAGCTTTAAAGACAGGCAAAGGCAATCAATATTTAATTAAGTATTGATTCATTATAGTTCATTATGATTACCCAAAGCATAATAATAATTCATTTGATTAAAATACATTTATAATGAGCAAAGTGATAAAATGATTATTTAGCATTAATAAACAAAGGAAGCGTAAGACTCTTTATTATGACTAGATTGTGTGAGAATTCCTTCTTCTGGAGCTGCAGGTGTTCGGTTGTTGTGGAATTCTGCAGACTTGCTGGTGGCTCCGGTCTTTATCTGTGGGTGAAAGTTGCTGGTGCCCCAGCTTTGACCCAGCCGGGCAAATACAACCTTTGGCACAGAAAAACCCATACTTCCTCACGTTACACCCTGCATTTCCTACCAGCTATCGCCCAATTTCTCTTATTAATGTTGATCTCAAAATGATTTGTAAAGCCCTGGCAAAAAGATTAGAGAAGGTAACCCCCTTCATAATACACCCTGACCAAACTGGTTTCATCAAGGGTAGACAGTCATCCACAAACTCACGTAGATTACTTAATTTGATAGATTTCTCTTACAGTAGAAACAGCTTTTGATAGAAGAATTTGATAGATTTCTCTTACAGTAG